TTGTTAGATTTGGAGGGATTTAATTTGATTTTAGTTTTAATTGTAGAAATTGACATTTTTGAAGTTATTAGTTAATATATCAACTTATCCCAAGTAGGGGTTATGAAGTAAATTAGTAATGTAAAGTCAATTCAATTCATCTTTTAGGTGTTTCCAACATGAAATTTGATTAGAAAAACAATTTAAGTTATGTTTTTTATAATGAGTTATAAACCCTGTGAATTGAATTCAAAATCAAATCAAATCAAATTATTTTCAAACATTAATAATGATTTCAAAACACAACTTGATGGAGGCTTCCTGTATTGATCTTTCAGCCACTCGGCGACCTGGGAACACTAGATGCTAAGGAAAAGGGTGAGGCCCTCTACACTTGGGTTAAACAAAAGCTGAGGGTGGCTGATCTTATTGGACAATCTGTGGTGGTATATGCAACTGAAGATAAATCTGAACACAGTATAGCTGCTGCATTGATAGCCAGAAGTGCAGGAGTGGGTGAGAACTATAAAAGACTCTGTACGTGTGATGGCACCATCATATGGGAGGCTAGTGACAACGATTTTGTTACTAGCAAGGTCGGATAAAGTAATTCCATGATAGCAAAGCATTGTAATTTAGATGCATTGTCGTCCCCCAGAAATCCATATATTTTTAGGGCCCTATATATAGGGCTGTGCAAAAAATTGGTTCAGTTGCCCTGTCCTTGATCTGACCTATAAATATCCATTTTTTTAACTGGATTTAAATATCGACCCAGTTATATTTGGGTTAATTTTAGACTTGATTTGTTTTGATAATTAAGTCATTGACCCAGAACCATTTTATGAAAAAAAAAAAATCAAAGGCAATTTGGGGCTTAGGTTTTCTCTTCTCTGAATCTCTCTATCATTCACTCTGGAGTCTTCACTCTTTCCCTCCATCTCCAAGCAAAATCACGGTAGAGTAGTAATTTAGGCTCTCCTTTTGGCTTTGTTTTGGTGGAACATGAAACCACCATTAATGCAGGGATATACCACGTTTTCTCTTCTATCTTTGGGCTTCTAAACCTCATCTACATTCATCTGTTGTAAAATTAAAGAATCTGCATAAGACATATCAAATGAATTGCTATTCATTCCAAAGTCTCCAGAAATTTCTCCCTCTTCTATGTCTCCCTTTTTCAATCAGAATATTGGAAGAATTAATTGCATTGTTCACACAAACTAATTTGTCTAATTCCTCTCCACTGCGCATTTCATGTTTTTCTTTTAAAATAGCATAATCCAGTAATCCACCATCTCCACTCAAATTCAATGGCCAACATTCATCAAAAACTGACAATCTTAATTTATGTTTGTTAATTATTTTAGTTTAATTCAGTCTATATTAATTTAAATTATTTTGTGACACACACATAACATGCTATGTTGTATAGCACGTTTGCCACGTGTCAGAAAAGTTGACTAAACATGTTATGCTACATAGCACGTTTGACGCCACGTGATCTCGCTGCACTGTACAGCGGCTTACACAGCTATGTACCTTCTGCCACGTGCCCACACCTAACTCGATAGATATTGTAGTGAGTTAGGTAATATGGTATGGGGGGAATTATAAAACGTGACATTCAGATAATTTTTTGTGTGAAAAGTGTCACACTTTGATCGTTGTGCCGCAAAATCCATCAAATTGCCATTCTATTGGTGTATTGTTTTCTATTTTTACTGGGGCCCACTAAAGCAAACTAATAACTGGTCCATTTCGCACATTGTAACATATTTTATGTACCAAATATAAGATGTTGAAATATGTAATTTATATTCAATTTTTAGTAATTCGATAAAATTTGGGTGTTCACATTTTTTTTTATATTTGCATTTGGAAATCTTTTTATGTTGAAATATGAACTATAGGACACTGTCATTCATATCTCTCAAAGAACTTGATTTGTTGAGATATATAGTCCCACATTGATTGGATGGACAACTAATATGGCCTTTATAAGGCCTTGGGCACTCCCACCCCTTGAGCTAGCTTTTGGGGTGGTGTATCCCAAGGTTCTTTACATGGTATCAGAGCCTCACCGTCCCCCGCTTTAAAAAGTGGAATTAAAATAAAAAAAAGCACAAAAAGGTAAACCAAAAATGGGCCTGTGCAATTTCCACGCTTCTAGCCTAAAGGGCTCTTGCGTGAGGGGGCGTGTTGAGATATATATAGTCCCACATTGATTGGATGGACAACTAATATGGCCTTTATAAGGCATTGGGCACTCCCACCCCTTGAGCTAGCTTTTAGGGTGGTATATCCCAAGATTCTTTACATTGTCGTTATTAACTTATTAGCTCTAGATTATGCAATAATAAGAAGCAAACAAACAAAACAGTTGAGGACATATTAAAGAACTTAAAAAAATATTCATATTATTATTTATTTATTTAACATAAAATGAAATACTAAATAAAAGATAATTATTAGAAGGTAAAAAAGAGTAAAGGAAAAATATTGATTTCATTGATTGTGGTGAATAAATTTGTACAATGAGTGAGCTCTTATATAGAAGAGCATAACAGAAAATAGAGATCTAGAATATCATTAAAATACCAAATTACCCTTATACTTAATATCTAATACTCCCCCTCAAGATGGAGAGTGAACAAAGAGAACTTTCATCTTGAACAAGAAAAATCAAGAAAACATAATAACCAAATAACATGAGCATCAGCCAGTAAAGAAACAGTGCTGGAATGGACATCAGTTATAATGTGCTGGGATGGACATCAGCAAAGGAAGGAAGGGCTGGGATGGACATCAGCAACCTAATATGAACTGCCGGGATGGACATCGGCAAAATCAACTGTTCTGAAATGAAATTCAGCAATATGATCAATGCTCCCCCTGAATAAGAAGCCAAAATAAAGCCAAAACAATGGCAGAAATAAACCAAATACAAGTCAAATCAGACTGGAATAACACCACAAATATATGTGGGAATAAAATCTAAGTGGCGAAATACAAGCCAGAAACAGTACATCAGAAAAATAAAAAAAAATCAAAATAAGAAAATAAAAAATTATAATGATGCATTGCAGTTAAATCCATGAGCTCCAAGGATCTTCATGGACCTGCAAAATGAGAAGTGAAAGAGAACAAGAAGATAGATCTGAAAATAAGAATATATCAGAGACCCAACAAAGGTGGACGATAACTAAGAAGAAGAAAAAAAGGCAAGACAAAAAAAAAAAAAAAACGCACATCAGAAAAAAAAAGACCGAAGAAGAAAAACACAGATATGAAACGTGAACGATCTGGAACAACAGTCAGAGAGTTGGATGATGTGGCCGGAGAATGAGACACGGTCGGAGATGATTACCGGAACAGAAGAAGACGCAGCTGAAAAAGAGAAGGACATGGCCGGAAGAAGACATAAACGCAGATCTGAAAACTGGGTGTGACCGGCCGGAGATTCAACGGTGACCGACCGGAAATAAAGGGGAATATCTTAACTGTAGCACAATGGTCCAATGGAAGTAATAATAAAAGATGATTTATCGCATGACGGTCCTTTAGATTTGGGTCGTTGGAATGTTTGTGGGGTTGGATGAGAATATGCCAATGGAAGGAATAATAAAAGACTAGCTTAACTGTAGCAGCAATTAAGTAAGAAAAAGAAAAGAAAGGAATCGGAAAATTCAAAAGAGTGAACCAGAAGAAGGAAGGAAGGGGAAAAGGTTCAGATGCAAAGGAGATCTGGAAGAAAAGGAGAGAAAAGATACAGAAGCAAAGGAAGCACATATCTGGAAAAGTAAAAGACTCAAAAAAAATCGATGAAGAGAAAACTAAAAAAAAATATGATCGTAGCGGAAGCTCCATTCATGGAGGATAAAAATGCTCTGATACCATATTAGAAGGTAAAAGAGAGTAAAGGAAAAATATTGATTTAATTGATTGTGGTGAATAAATTTGTACAATGAGTGAGCTCTTATATAGAAGAGCATAACAGAAAAGAGAGATCTAGAATATCATTAAAATACCAAACTACCCTTATACTTAATATCTAATAATAATCAACCTAATATATTAATAAAATAGAAACATAAATAAAAACAAAATTAAATTGAAAAAACAGTAAAAATAAAGGAAAAAGTTACATAAAAATTGAATAAATTTCTAGACCAAATATAAGATTACCCAAACGTCAAATTCATACAAAATTTTAAGTTCTTCCCATAAAATTTGGGTGTTCACCCCAATTTTTTTGTCCACAAACTTCAGCTATGATGTATTATATACCTGTGTGCATCACCCTCAAAGGATCTATGTAGCACCGATACGACAAGCGACACGTGACACGACACGACACGACACTCCGACACGTCAATCTTAAAAAATTATGGATTTCGACACGTTGGGACACGTTTTAATATTAAATAATATTTTTAATTTATATAGTGTATATTTCATTTAATATTTAATATTTTAACAAAAAAATGAAACAAAATTAATAATACCCATTAACATGTTATAAAGATGGAAGCTTTAATAAAAAAATAAGAACTGAGATGAGATATATATATATAATATCAGATAGAGAGATCAAATCATATTAGAGAGAAGAAGATACAACAAGAGCGTGATATGAATTTACAACAATGATGCTGAGATGATCTCTTATCTACTTAAGGGGAAAAAAGACAAAAGATAAAATTGATATGATCAGGTGGAAGCTTTATTAATATATTTAAACTTTTTAAAAAAATAAATTTTTTTAAAAAAAATTTAAAAAAAATTAAAAAAAAATTACGAAAATGTCATTTGACCGTGTCGGACACGGTCAAATTCGCGTGTCGAAATGGTCAACGTGTCGAAAAAAGTCAACCGCGTGTCCGACACCGTGTCGGAGCGTGTCGCCGTGTCGGAGCCGACTCTTCCTGTTTTTACAAGTGTCCGTGCATCCTTGCAAAGGATAACTAGGTAGAAAAAGAAACAAAAAATAGTTGAACGAGAGCTGTGGATCAATCTAGAAGGAAGTGGCAATAAACACACGCACATAGAGAGAGAGAGAACAGTACCTACCCAAATGCATTTTATGAGGTGGTCGAATATAAAGAAAGAATAATTGCAGAAAAATGGCATTTCTAAGGTCAGTGGCAACTACAACAACTGCCATAGCTGCTTCTGCTATCCCTGCAGCCTTCGCCTATTCTTCTCTTTCATCTTTTTTCTCTCAATCTCCCCAATCCCCCAAACCCCCAAACGCAGCCTTCACTTTCAAACCGAATCGGTTGGGCCTTGTCAAATCACTCGCTACCCCTCCCTCAGCTCTTCACATGGACCACAAACCCTCTTCTCAGGTTCGCCATTCTTATTTCTCTCCAACTTTCCTCTTAATTACTTAATTATCCTATAAATAATCTTATATTTTTATTTTCTTTCTCTCGCAGACTGATGCTGTCTTGCCCGAGTTACTGGTGAGTTTAATCATGTTCTCTCTTTTTCGGTATTTTAGCTTGCTTGGTTCGGCTAATTAAATCATTTGTTAATCCCTAATCTTCTGAAGTTTATTTAATGCTTAATTTGGTTTCAGACGGAGTACATGGTGGATATGAAATGTGAAGGTTGTGTTAATGCGGTCAAAAATAAGTTGCAGACGATAAACGGTATGTGTTTTGGTCATGTTCTTGGGCCAGCTCGTTTCATATACTTTCAAGTTATTTCTACTCAGAATCACTAGAAAAATGGAATTGAATTTATTTGATTCGATACAAATCAAATTCCTTATTAGATTTGAGTGGTTTTCCACGTACAATAAACTATCTCCTTTATAAATTAAATTCATTTACAAATTTTGTGGTTCTAACATCTGTCTTTATGTCATTCTGGTCCTGTCACTTTTTGCAGGAGTGAAGAACGTAGAGGTGGACCTGAGCAATCAGGTTGTTAAGATTCTTGGTTCAACTCCAGTGAAGACCATGACTGAAGCTTTGGAGCAGACTGGTAGAAAAGCACGATTGATTGGACAAGGAGTGCCAGAAGGTTCACTGGTCAATTTCTTGGTTTATCATGATTTCTGGTTGCAAATTGTGTAGCAGTGGTTTCACCTTAACGACTATGAGTTTTAACTGTATGACTTTTATTGTGTTAATTCATCTTCTTGCAAATGAGATTGTAAAATCCTTCAAATTGAATTTTAGGGCTCGTATCAGATAGGTTTACTCTTAATTAATTTATTTGGAAGAATGAGTAGAGTATGATAAACTCTTGGGGGACGGTCTCACTGCAGTTTATCACATATTTAAACTCTTGGATAAACAGCTTCTCTGCCACAGTAGTCAGTTTACTAACACCCTTTATTACTGTCACAAAGAAATAGAGAAAAAAGCTCCTTTTGTTTTCAAACTCAGCATACGTAGGTGGTCAACCACTTCGCCTAATAGGCTGTACATTGAGTATTTCCCATTATCATTCAGACATGATTATTTTTAGTTCAAAAGATCTTGCAGTTTCTCCATCATCAAATGGATGTTGATACGTTTACCAGAATCAAATAGGTCACATTATTCCCCTCATGAACATTGAAAGCATTGTTGATGCTGCTTTCTCATCAAACCCTAGGTTCCTCTTACATTTGTCTTCACAATTCCATGATCTAACAAACAACAACACACCATCAGAAGCTTTAGCGCTCAGTTTCAACTGCTGATGAATAATTTCCAGTAAGACTTAATTTTTGATATGTTTGTGATGGAACCCAATTTTACAATATTGAATTTATTGAATCAATTGAGGCATAGCCTCTTTTTACAAACACTAATAATAGAACAAGACACCAAAAGACCCCAGCTCACCCTTAGAACCAACAAACCTAGGCTCCAAGAGATCCCCAATTCCCCAATATTCACTCAATACGTGCATATCTCACTTCACACACTCCCCCTCCTTTTAGCCTACTCACAGAATATTTTAGAAGAATTCCCTAATTAACTAACTAACTAACCCACTCATCACTTTTAGGTCCATCAGTTTGCTAAAGCACGGTGTACTTACAGAGATTAATGACCTTGTTTCTATAGGTATATGTATTCAAGGCTAGAGATTGGGGATACTATTCTCTCTATTATTTATTTCTAGCTTACACTATTTTTAATATTTGTCAGATTCTATTATTTACCAAGCACTTCTTCTCTCCCTGCTTTACCTTCAACATTGCTGATAAAGAAGCTCTCTCCGGAAGAGTTGCAGAGAAAACGTGATATGGGTTTATGTTTTAGCTGCAATGAAAAATGGTCATCCCACCATAAGTGCAAAGCTAAGATGTTGTTGTTATGTGGTGATCCAATTGATTCAGTTGGCAATGGAGAAGAGGAGATTGTTTGGCATATTGATATCAATACAGTTGAGAAAGTGGATGCAGCCTTACATTCGTTATCAGGTTCGGCTAATCCAAGGGCTATTTTGTTTGATGCTATTTTAATGAAAAAATCCATCCCCGTCTTGGTGGATTCTGCCAGTACCAACAATTTTTGCAACGCCACTTGGTCGAAGAACTTGGCTTAAAGTCAACATGCTGCAAACGTATGCCTGTATTTCTCAGAGATGGAAATTTCTTGATATGTGATAGATGGTGTGTTAATACTAAGCTGATGCTACAAGGTCATGATTTGTTGTAGACCTTCATGTAGTGGACCTTACAGGGTTGAGTATAAATCTGGGGATGCAATGGTTGAGTCAATTAGGACATGTCACATGATTACAGAACTTTATCAATGGAGTTTTTGTGGAATAATCAACTTGTGTGTATGCAAAGGAATCATGATTCCTCTAATCAATTTGTTGATGCTAATTCCTCTGAGAGTTCATGTCTTCAACTATCAATAGATTTGAATTCTCTTGAATCACCTCCAATCTCTTCAGATTTGGAGAAACTTCAAGGCCAGGTCCCTGAGGTAATTTGGAGTGTTCTCCTTGAATCTAACTCTATGTTTGACATTCCTTAGGGTCTTCCTCCTTTTCGAGGTGGGGATCATTCAATTCACTTAGTTGAAGGATCAACTCTAGTTAATGTGAAACCATTTCGATACGTTCACCATTAGAAATCTGAGATTGAGAAGCAGGTCTCAGATCTTTTAGCAACAGGTTTCATCCAACACAGCAAGAGTCCATTTTCTTCCCCGGTCCTTCTTGTTAAAAAACACGATGGATCATGGCGCATGTGTATTCATTATTGTGCCCTTAACATGATAACCGTGAAGGATCGCTTTCCCATTCCCACAATCGAGGAGCTGCTAGACGAGTTGAGAGGTGCATTGGTCTTCTTAAAGCTTGATTTATGAGAAGGCTACCACCAGATCCTGTGATGCTTGAAGATGTGCCAAAGACAGCATTTCGAACTCACGAAGGGCACTATGAGTTCCTTGTGATGCCCTTCGGATTAACTAATGCTCCTTCAACATTTCAAGCTTCTATGGACCACATCTTTTGACCATATCTGCGCAGGTTTGTCATTGTCTTCTTCGATGACATTCTTGTATACAGTTCCTCCTTGTCTGAACATGCAGGTCACCTTCGAACTGTGCTGGAGAGTCTTCAGTGAAATGTTTTCTATGTCAAGCTCAGAAATGTGCTTTTGCCTTAGACGAGATCGTATATCTCGGTTATATTGTCTCTGCAAATGGGGTTCGTGCTAATCGTGGGAAGATTGATGCAAGGCTTAAGTGGCTTCAACCTCAGACCACGAAACAATTACGTGGCTTCCTCGGACTCACTGGATACTATCGTAGATTTGTTCAAAACTATGCTATGTTGGCCTCACCATTAACAGACTTACTGAAGAATTATAGCAAATTTAGTTGGTTGTCCAATGAAGCTAAAATTGCTTTTCATAAGTTGAAACATGTCATGTCAAAGACACTTGTTCTTGCCTTGCCGGATTTTTCTTCGAATTTCATATTGGAAATTGATGCTTCAGTAATTGAAGTGGGTGTTGTTTTACTACAACATGGCCGACCGATATTGTACTTTAGCAAGAAGTTAAGCCCACGAATGGCTTCTGCTTCTACATACCTGCGTGAGCTATTTGCAATCACTGAGGCGTTGAAGAAATGGCGTTAGTATCTACTTGGCTCTTCATTCATTATTCGCATAGACCACAGAAGCATCAAGGAGCTATTATCAATCGGTTTTGACTCTAGCGCAGTACAAATACGTCTGCAAATTGATGGGTATTCTTTTACTATTGAATATAAGGCTGGCCACATGGGAATCCATCAATCACTATCGCCATCACTTGCAAAGATGGTATATTGTTTCGTCGTGCAAGGTATCTCCTTGGGCCTAACTCCAAACTTAAGGAATATGACTCTCTGAAGTTCACAACACTCTAATCGGAGGTCATGCTAGGATCACAAGAACAATTTTGCGTTTAACTTCTTCATTTCATTGGAAGAATATGCGTTCTGATGTCAAAGCTTTTGTACGCCAATGCCAAATTTGTCAATGTGTTAAGCCCGTTCATGCAGCACCGAGTGGTCTCGTTCAACCACTACCAATACCAAGTGGTGTTTTTGAAGATTTATCACTCGACTTCATAACTGGTTTACCTAACTCTAATGGCTTCAATTGCATTCTTCTTCTTGTTAACAGATTAACGAAGTTTACCCACTTCAGTCCCTTGCCAACATCCTACACCTCATCAATTGTAGCTCGTTTGTTTTGTGAAATGATTGTCAAAATTCATGGTTTTCCTCGAACCTTGGTTTCTGATAAGGATCCCATCTTCGTCAACAGCTTTTGGCCTCACTTGTTCAAGATGAGTGGTGCACACTTGCTTACAAGTTCTTCATATCACCACTAGACTGACGAGAAATTCGAGGTGACAAATCATTATCTCGAACAATACTACGAGCCTTCTGTAGTGATCAACATAGCCAATGGTCGAAGTTTTTGTGTTGGAAAAGCTGCACTACAACACTGCTTTCCATTCGGCTATATCCATGTCTCCATTTGAGGCTTTGCATAGACGTTCACCTACATGCTCCCTCATTACTCTCGGGGCTTAGTATAAATAGAGGCTTTGGATTCGCTGCTATGTCAACAAAATGAGCTTCTTGATAATCTCAAGAGGAACTTGCAATATGCCCAGAATCGGATGAAGATGCAGGCAGATAAGCATCGTCGGGATCGCATTTTGGTTGTTGGTGATCTGGTTTTAGTGAAACTCCAACCTTATCGACAAGTCTCGGTGGTGCAGAGAAAGAATCACAAATTGGCTAAGAAGTTCTTTGGGCCCTTTCCAGTAGCTCGGGTTATCAGTCCCGTCTCGTATCAGTTGACATTTCCAGAGGGTGTTTGCATTAACCCCACCTTCCATATCTCTATCCTTAAGCCGTTTCATAGCTCGCCTCATCAGGTTATACCGTTGCCAAATGAAGCTGTAAACAACATGCCAGTGCAATCACCCATTGCAGTGTTGATGTCTTGCGAAGTAGAGACTCGTGGCCTTCGTCAACAGCAATTCCTCGTCCAATGGTCCAATTCCCCTCCTGAAGATGCCACATGGGAGTTTGAATTTGCTTTGAAACAAGCTTATCCCACCTTGGACCCTGAAGACAAGGACCACTTTGAAGGGGGAGCGGATGTTACAAGTGTAAGGCCCAATGATAATGACGTAGCTAGGCCCAACTGTGAAAGGAGGATACCAGCATGGAGGAAAGACTGTGTGCTATAGGGCTCATGTGTAACAGTATAAGTAATGACTTATATATAATATAGCTGTAAATAGATTTTGTAGTAGATGACGTGACATGTGGCCGTTGGTTGGTTGCATGAATTACGTGATTAGTTACTATAGGTAGCTACTGTGGTTATGCATGAATTGTATATAGTTACAGAAGGATACTGGTAATAGTCATATCAGAAATACCAAGATTCTTTTTTGTGGGCAAGAGCTGGAGTACCTTCATGCTTGTTTGATAATGATCTGAATCACCTTCATATTGTCCAATTCATTTTATTTTTTTTCTAATTATTGTAAAGTTTAATTAGCTTCAGATTTTCTGTCAAATTTGTGTTGTTGTCATTGTTTTCCTCAAGGAAACCCAGAAGTTCAAGTAGGCATGGTAAGCATACTGCCTTAAATTGGTTGTTGATCACTAATTTGATGCCGAGCAGCATTACTTCTACCCAATGACCCCTTCCCAAAAAGGAAAGAAGGGTGTCTGGCTCCATCATTGTTGTTGACCCTAATATGGCATAAGTTTGTTTTTGCTTAGACTGCAGCAGATGCTAGATGTTTATCAATTATTTTTTTAAAATGAATCTTGTTTAGTTGTGTGATGTCTCCTGATTTTTTGTCACACAATATTGTATAAGCAACTCAAATTAAATTAGCATGATGTCAGCAATATGTCTTTATCTCTGTATTCATGATTTCACTGTCTTATCAGTTCTAAATTCTGATTACCTAAATTTTTCTTTTGCTTTACAGATTTCTTAATATCTGCTGTTGTTTCCGAATTCAAAGGTCCAAGTATTTTTGGTGTTGTTCGTCTTGCTCAAGTAAATATGGAACTGGCTAGAATTGAAGCCAACTTCAGTGGGTTGTCACCAGGAAAGCATGGTTGGTCTATTAATGAGTTTGGAGATTTGACTAGAGGTGCAGCAAGCACCGGTAAAGTGTTTGATCTGATAAATGAGGAAAACACTAAAGAGGTTTGCTTTTCCGCATACGTTCTGGACTTACTTCTATATTTCCTGTCGTGTAAATTTTCATCTTTTAAGGATTGATGACTGGTATATATGTTATTACTAAACACTAAAACGGTTAGGATAGTGAATTATTTTTTGGAATCAGAAAGTATATCGATGCATTGTAGGATATTTCTGTTGATTGAAGCTGACTACTTTCCTCTAAAGTGTGATGTTTGACATGCTATTGCTGAAATTTCATTCTGCTATTAACTGAAATTTTTTTGTTTGGAAAGTTAAATAATAGGAATTGATTTGATTTGAAATCTTTTTTGATTGAAGTTGTGTACTGGTAAAAACATTAAAATTTTGATAGATTTGGAGGGATTTAATTTGATTTTAGTTTTAATTGTTGAAATTGACATTTTTGAAGTTATTAGTTAATATATCAACTTATCCTAAGTAGGGGTTATGAAGTAAATTAGTAATGTAAAGTCAATTCAATTCATCTTTTAGGTGTTTACAACATGAAATTTGATTAGAAAATCAATTTAAGTTCTGTTTTTTATAATGAGTTATAAACGCTGCGAATTGAATTCAAAATCAAATCAAATCAAATTATTTTCAAATATTAATAATGATTTCAAAGCACAACTTAATGGAGGCTGCCTAATTTGATCTTTTCAGCCACTGGGCGACCTGGGAACACTAGATGCTGACGAAAAGGGTGAGGCCCTCTACACTGGGGTTAAAGAAAAGCTGAGGGTGGCTGATCTTATTGGACGATCAGTGGTGGTATATGCAACTGAAGATAAATCTGAACACGGTATAGCTGCTGCAGTGATAGCCAGAAGTGCAGGAGTGGGTGAGAACTATAAAAGACTCTGTACGTGTGATGGCACCACCATATGGGAGGCTAGTGACGGCAATTTTGTTACTAGCAAGGTCTGATAAAGTAATTCCATGATAGCAAAGCATTGTAATTTAGATGCCTTGTCGTCCTCCAGAAATCCGTATATTTTGAGGGCTCTATACCGTTAGGAAAGCAATGCATCTGTCTCTCATTTATAATAAATTTTTAACATAAATTATGAACTTGTTTTATTTTACTTTATTTATAATAAATTTGAGAGATGTCTCTTGATAATTCTTAGTTGTGGTATAGTTTATCATGCTAATTTTTATACACTTCAAATCATCATTTGATATGTTTTAAAAAAAGTTTGTTTTTATTATAAATTTTACAATTTTATGTACATTAAATAATAGTAAGTGGAAGTGAGAATGACTGGCCTCTCTTTCTCGCGATTTTGAGAGTATAATGGCCGTCAAAAACTATTTAGTTAAAAAACTGCAAGGATTTTATTAATTATTGTAAATTATTTGCTGAAATGCTAATGTTTCAATATTCACATGGCATTGCAATCTATATTTTTGTTGTTATATTGAGTGCATGACTATGTTTAGATGGAGAATTTTGAGGAGGAAAATATTTTAGGGGGGTTTAAATATTTTGCCATAAAATTTCTTGTTCGGTATTTGATCTAAGAATTTCAAAATTCACACAGCAATTTTTTAGGTGTAATTTTTTTTTCATAAAAATAGAATTTAAAATTTAAACGTGCATTCGCGCCTCTTTCTTTCTTTCCATTTTCTCCTTCCTCACGGTTTCTTCATTCCCTGCAGCTGTGTAAGTCGATTTATATATTTTTTTAATAATATTGACACCTTTTCCCTCTCTAGACTTGGGACAAATTTTTGGAGAAAAGAGTGCATTAGAAAAATAAGAATAGTAACAATTAACAACCCAAAAATATGACGGACCAGAAAACAGAAAACAGAAAGTCAGACATCGGGGGCAGCAACAGTGTGAACAGGTTCGGGATTCGGATTGTATATACGGCAGCGAAATATTTTACAATTATCAATAAAAATATATCAACTAAGAAACCTTAAAAAAAAAAAAAAAAAAAAACAAATAAACTAAAAGAGCCTCTAATGTTATATATTCTGTTTCCATTAATAACAAGCCCGAAAACAAAAGGGGTTACTCCATCTCATTCTGAAGTTTGGCATTTCAAAGTCACCTCTACTTTTAGATATTGTTATAATGGCTACGCTAAGAATGTAACCTTCTGGTTGAGAAAGGTGAAATCAACACTCTCAAGTCGCAACAAAAACCGTAGAGAAATGTTTTCTTCCTTAGAATCTGAGAAAATGTCAACAACTAGTTCTTTGACTTTTAAGTAAACATGGTGCAAGAATTTCCTGACACCGTAATACTATGTGTGAGCCATGTCAGTTATGTATTCCATCTTTTGATTAACATTAAAAGCATAAATTTAGTCATTCGGAGAAAGAATAGTGGCTCAAATATAAGACTCCTCACACTCACTACCTTACAAGGGCGTAACTGAGAATCTCTTGGTAAGGGATAGTTTCATCCAGTACAAAAGGCAAAGATAACAACCAAGCCTTTTCTTGTTAGGTAGAGTATGCAACACGGATAAAAAGTTTCTATCGTCTTCCTCTGCGTAGCACTACCAGCCAGAAAGGCTACTAAATTAGGTTGCCAAAGGAGGTAATAGCCCTTCTTTAGTTGCCATTTCTAACAGTGCAACAGCCACCAAAACCTTGCAATCTGCTGTAGTGCGCCAAAGTTTCTTGTATGGTACTAAACGTACCTTAATCAGCTCCCCATGCTCACGAAGGCCAGTCTCTTTACCCTGTAGCTGTGTGATAATCTCTTTATCAACATGCCCTCTGTACAGAAAGATACTAATTTCTTCGTCACATCCTCCCTTACCACAAAAAAAAGGGGTGAAAACTGAAAATTAGAAGTCCATGTGATAAAGCAAGCAATAAGAACGAACTTTGATCAGCTAAACGTACAAGAATTTGAGATTGTAGTATTGAGATAATTTCAACGGTTTCTAAAGTTGAAGTATGAAACATTTTAGTAGCCAATTAATTGGATACAGAATGTTTATTTAGAGCATTTAATTTCAACAAATTCATGGGCTAAAAGACTATTTTCAATATGCTAAGGCTCATCTGCACGGTTAACTAATCACTACTTAGATCGAGAGTGGATAGAGTAGCCTCAAGTGACCAGAAGTTGAACTGCATGATACTAAACTATATCCATATTACCACGCCAAATTATGGCAAAACTATTCAAAGCATAAGACAAAATTATTAGCTTTTCTATTTGAAAATAGCTAAATTAATTGCAAAGCACAGATCATGAAATTTGCAGAAGCAAAACGTGCAATAAGATCCTCATGCAAAAGGCTCAAAATATACCCCCGAGGGAAAAACTTTGCATCCAGTTGAAGAGTCTAGGAAAGCGGTGAGGTCAACCATGTCTTCTAGATTTAACTTGATGCCAATCTCTTCTTCAACCTGTCAGAGTCACAACTTCGTGAAGTCATGAATAGTACTGTTAAGACAATTATATCACTAGGAAAAACAAATAAAAATGTCTGACATGCAAGTAAAGACCCATTAATAATGCAATTAAAACATGGACTTTCAGTACAGCTAGAGGGTGAGAGTCAGAGAGAAATAGACCTCACGAACTGCAGTGCCAACAAAATCACCCTTGTCATCGTCCAACATTCCAGCCGGCAATTCCAAAATAATTCTTCCAACTGGAACCCTTGCCTTATAAACAAGAATGTCCAACATAAGAATAGGCATAACATGAAAGTTCAGTTACAATTGCTTGAAAAGAACACTGCAAGGCTCCGACATCTACCTGTTCAGTAAGAACAGCATAAGTCTCTCCCTCTGATTCCAAAAGTATCAGCACAGCCACAGCTGGTCCTCTTGCAAATACAATACCTGGAATCTGATCATGGTTTACTTTACTATAAAAAGAAAGAAATCAGCATTAGGTGCACCAAACGTAGATAGACAAACTAATGAGGTATTTAGTACACAGGCATCTAGCATGTCCAAGGTTCCAAGCATCTTGGAGATGTCTATGTCTGATGCATGGGTATGAGATTACCATATGCACCTCAATCTTTCATGTCTTCTTCAAAGCACAATGTATGTGGACGTGTGATGCCCTTTCAAATATATGGGAATCTCAATTTCCCCAGCATATGATACCCTCTCTTGCTGGATATTTAAGGTTGATTAGTGCAAACAAAAGGCATGACATATGCCTGAGAATATAACATTGTTGAACGAAACAAGAGAATCCTAAATATTCAAGCATCTTATATCCCAGCTGCCTTGGAAAGTAAGATAAGTATGAATCAAATGCTTCCTAAGTTTCTTATTTTCATTGTGAGGAATCCACTCTTTAGATATTGTAGGAAAAAAAATAATGAACCAATTCCACCCTCCAATTCCATTGTTTAAAACATCTGATACCTTTTTTCCTGTTTCTTTGTCAAAAATGTCAGCTTTGAACTTAAGAAACCCGATGCGCTTTCCAAACATGTCTACTCCCTGTTTATAGAAAAAAGAATCCACCAAATTGTTGTTAATTATGATCAGGAAACATGAATAAACCTAGAATATTAAATGAATGTCCTTTTATTTAAAATCCCAAGTAACAGTTCCCTAAATTATCAGAAGCAATATGCTTCTTGATAGTCTAAAATGCTTTAAAACTATAGTTTCATATTGACTGTCTTCTACGGATTACAGTGTTAGTTAAGTCCTCAGAAGAAAACAGTGAAAGAAAATATCTATGTTGACAACATCAAATAAATTTCTTGCCATGTGTTCTAGAATTTGAGTTATGGAATGCAGAGAAAACCTCTTTCATCGGCAAAGTATCCTTCATCAATTGTTTTAGCTCAATAACATGATTACCTGAATTAGAACTTGTCTCAGAGCCATTGTACCATCGGCTAGAACCCCAGTCTCACTTTGGAGGCTATGTAACCACTGCTTGAATAAAGAGGAATCAATAGCACTCCTGCAAATGGGAACATCAAAAACCAAACTCAAAGGACCACAGCTACCCCTACCTGATGTTTGTCATAGAAATCAAATTTGATACGTACTAAGTGAAACAAGTTTTCACAGAAACAACAACGACGGTCGACGACACAATTACATGCATGTCCTTCTAGTTTCTAACTTGATTAAAATTAAAAACAACTATACTGAAAATAAAAACGAGATCTCGGAACAGGATCATATTTTACTCGAATATCACTATGAAATAGTTTTTTAGAGTAAATACCCTTCTTCTTGGTCCTCAGAAAATTTTACGAGACCCGTTTTAGTCCTTAGAAAATAAAAAGGCCCAGTCCCTCAAAAAGGACCCATTTAGTTGAAATCGTGGTCCCTCGCAAATTCAAAAAAGACCCATATTAGTACAGAACTAAAATGGGTCTAATTTAAGTTTTTTAAGTACCACGATGAGCTTTGAATAGGGACTAAAACCGGAGTAATCAAATTTTCTGACGACCATATTTACTCTCTTTTTTTATCTTATTAAAATTGAAACTTTTTAGTTTCTAATTTGAAGCAACTCCAAAAGAACTCTATTTTTTATTTTTTTATTACCCTCTGAACATGACAATATCAAAAGCTTTAATCAGTGAGCATGCAGCCATTATAACAATTTTTCCTACAAAAATTATCTATTTAAAAAAGAGAGAGAGAGAGAAAAAATGTAATATGACTGACCAAAAATCAGAATGAGAGACACCGGAAGCAGCAACAATTTGAACCGGTTCGGACTGTTTATTCGGGAGCGAGATTGAGTGAGTCAAGGGTGATGACTCGGTCGACATCTTGCACCAGAAACCCTTCTTCCTCAAAGTTCGATTGGGAGCATAAAGCGGAATCAACCTTTTCAGCGCAACAGATACTGTGCGAAAATTCACAGCCATTGAAGCCTAAGCTTCAGAATCAGCAAATAGAAGAAAATGTACAAGCCTCCGTGGCTGCAAATATTGGGCCTTCGATTATTAAGACTTTTGGGCTTTGAGAACAAGGCCTTTGTGGCCCAAATCCGAAAATTGGTAGAAAATGCCGTATATGTATACACGAGTCTGTACGTGTGATGGCACCACTCACTATATGGGAGACTAGCGACGGCGATATGCTACTAGCAAGGTGGGCATGTTTGAAATCTATTTTAAAAATTAATTTTTTAATTTTTTGAATAAAAAAAATCTATTTGATAAAGCATGTTTTATAAAAATAATTTTAAAAATGATAACTATTTTTTTATTTTTAAAATCAAATTTAGAAAATATATCTGAATTATTTTTGTTTTATGTTTTGAATTTTAACTTTTAAAATACAAAAATTATAGAAAATATTTATTTAATTAATTATTCTACGGAACAATTTTAAAAATAAAAAAATTAAAACACAATCAAAACTTTTTTTCTATGGAAAGTATAATTTTTTGTCTCTTCAGTCTTCATATAAAAAAGAAAAAAAGGTTATATGCATACTGATCATAGTTACCGTGGTTCACATTTATTAATCTTTATGCTTCTTTCACGCTCTCAGTTACTGTCGTTCTGGTCAAACAGCATTGCAATCAATCTATTTGATTGTTCATTTGACAGGTCTTTCTTGATAAGTTCTTAGTTAACTATAGCTTATCATGTTATTTTTTTAAACACTTTTAATCATTATTTGACATGTTTTAAAATATTTATAAAAATGTTAATTTCTATCATAAATTTTTACAACTTTAAGGACGTTAAATAATAATTAAGTGGAAGTGAGAATGACTGCTCTGTCTTTCTTCTGATTGTCAGTGCATAATAGCCGTCAAAACAATATAGTTAAAAAGATTGCAAGAATTTTAATGCTTGTTGTAAATTATTTGCTGAAATGCTAATTTTTCAATACAGTAGATAAAATCCATGTTTTTGTTGTTATATTGAGCGTATGAGTGTGCTTACTGTTTAGATGGAAAATTTTAAGGAGGAATTATTTTTTATTTTATTTTTTTTAAGCAGGCCCACCCCTACAGGTCAAATTCACATCTCGTTACAGCTAATAAGCTTTTCTCAGCTTTTTGATTCCCTTTTTAATGACCACACACTATTTAATCAAATTCGACACCCCAATAAATAATATGCTATAGCATGATGGAAGCCCATACTTTCTTCGTAAGTGATTGAGCAGCATACAAGATTATAAAACACTTACATATATAATTTAAATTGAGTCATCTGCACGCCTGTCTTATTTATGATAAGTTGTAAGAATACTAAGTTTTCTCTTTGATCTCCAAATGGAGATGTGACTTTTGGGGAACAAAACAATAGTAGATATAATTAAATATAGAGGACACTTATCTTTTATATAAAATAGGTCATATTAACGTTAACGAGCCCTTCCATCATGCGATTATTAAAGAAACTGACAGAGCCTGAAGTTGCTGCCCGATACATTATTAATATGTCCAAGGGTTTGATATTTTTCCTTGCAAGTTGAAAATAAAATTATCCGGATATATAGAAGCAGCAGGTGAAGTCCAATTTTATTTTATTTTTTATTCCATTAGGAATTATACAAACACGTGATTTTATAAATTAAAGTAATTGAATTGCTATCATTCAATTTCTCTATATTTAGGCAGTGATTTTTAATTGAAATTGATTATTAAAAATTTTAACTAATAATTTAAATAAATTATTAACCTAATAATAATTCAACTATTTAATTAACAATTTTTAAGATAATGACAAAAATTAAATGAATAAGAAAACAGTACATTGGAAAATATGAGTAAAATAACAACCGAAAAATATGACAGAACGGGGGCAGCAACAACGTAAAACGGGTTCGGATTGTGTATAATAGGGCAAGCGTGGCCTATTTTAAATTGATTATAAGATTTTTATTATTATTATTCGATTATAAAAGTACGAGTTATTATTTTGTTTTCAAAAACTATTTCTTTAAAATTTAAACTCGTATTTCTATCTCAAAAAATTGAGGTTTCTTAACACCACTGCCCAATTATTACTATAATGATCATTTAAATTTAGCAATGAATAATCGCCTGCACGAATCAAAGCAATTAGTTAAATTCTAGGTGATAATTGATTTTTTTTTAAAATTTAGTTAACTTATGTTTATTGATAATTACAAAATATTACACTGTTTTCATTTTTTTCCTATTTTCAAGATTTTATGAAAGCAATATTGTAAATATTTTTATTTTCTTTTGCTAATTTTTTTTTTCAAAATTAAGAAAACAAGAAACAAAGTTAAAATTACAAAAAATCCTACTTTAATATTTGTTAGTTTCTTATTTTTAAAACTCTGAATAACAAAACCATGTAAACAGAAAATAAAATTAAAACATGACCCCCACCCAAAAAAACAAACAAACTATAGAGCCTCTAATTTTATATATTTTGTTTCCATTAATAAAGCCCGAAAAAAAGGGGTTACTCCATGTCATTTAGAAGTTTGGCTTTTCGAAGTTAGCTCTAAGTTTTGATAAATTTCAATTTATAATAGCTACGAGAAGAATATAACCTTGTAACTGAAAAAAGGTAAAATCAATACTTGCAAATCGCAACAAAAACCTTAGAAATGTCATTTAGAAGTTGGATTTTTCGAAGTTAGCTCTAAGTTTTGATAAATTTCAATTTATAATAGCTACGAGAAGAATATATCCTTGTAACTGAAAAAAGGTGAAATCGATACTTGCAAGTCACAACAAAAACCTTAAAAATGTCATTTAGAAGTTTGGCTTTTCGAAGTTAGTTCTAAATTTTGATAAATTCCAATTTATGATAGCTACGAGAAGAATATAACCTTGTAACTGAAAAAAGGTGAAATCGATACTTGCAAGTCACAACAAAAACCTTAGAAATGTCATTTAGAAGTTTGGCTTTTCGAAGTTAGCTCTATGTTTTGATAAATTCCAATTTATAATAGCTACGAGAAGAATATAACCTTGTAACTGAAAAAAAAAAAGTGAAATCGATACTTGCAAGTCACAACAAAATTCTTAGAAATGTGATTTAGAAGTTTGGCTTTTCGAAGTTAGCTCTAAGTTTTGATAAATTCCAATTTATAATAGCTACGAGAAAAATATAGCCTTGTAACTAAAAAAAGGTGAAATCGATACTTGCAAGTCACAACAAAAACCTTAGAAATGTCATTTAGAAGTTTGGCTTTTCGAAGTTAGCTCTAAGTTTTGATAAATTTCAATTTATAATAGCTACGAGAAGAATATAACCTTGTAACTAAAAAAAGGTGAAATCGATACCTGCAAGTCGCAACAAAAACCTTAGCAATGTGATCAACTTGTTCCTTGACCTTTACTTAAACACGGTGAAAGAATTTCCTTTGAGACCGTAATACTTTGTGCGAGCCATGTAATTTCCTACCAAAATTATCTATTAAAAAAAAGACAGAAAATGTAATATGATACGGACCATGCCCCTGCTACTGCTCAAGAAAGACAGAGAGAGATGAGGGAAAGCAAAACCATGAGACAAAGGGAAGGACATAGAGTAAAGAGAAGACCACAATGGATGGAAAACTTTGTGACCAAAGAAAGTGGCTGAAAGGATGGGTTAGGAGAGAATGGGCCACGTTGGTGGAGGCCCAAGTTCCACACTTAGTGTCAGCTGATTAGAATAACGAGTTGGGCTTAGATTATAGGCCCAATTTATTGTAATGCATTTGTTTACTGTTGCCTTTTAATACTGATAGGATGGAGCGTAGTGGGTATCGAATTTAGTTGTAACAAACTTCATCTTCTTCCTTCTCAAATTTCTGGAGTTGCCGGCGTTCTCAAATTGCCGTTGAAAATACCATACGTATATTTCAGTCTTGTTTTCTGAGTTTTAGATAGCTGAGACTATCAATTTGGTGCTTTCATTGAGAGAAACTTCCGATCAAGTGAGATGGCGGAGGGAACTCGTTCAGCAGTTAAGACTAACATGATGGATGAGTGCATAGCAAAAATCGCTAGGCATGAAGAGCGGTTCAACGCACTGGGAGAGTTGTTACAGAGTAAGAATCTGAAATTGACGATCATGGAAGCTAAGTTAGATCAGAAGAACAAAAATAAAACAGAAGGAAAAGGAGGAACTAGCAGTGATGCAGGTCTGCGAACATTCTTTGGTAACAATGCATACAAATCAGTAAAGTTTACTGTACCTCGATTTTCCAACGGAAACCCTGAGCCATAGATTCATAAAATTCAGCAGTTCTATGGCTTTCACAATTTTCCTGATGCTGATAAACTCACACTGACGTCCTTCCAGATGGATGGGCCTGCAGAGGAGTGGTTCCATTTGATGGAACGAAATCAGATATTGACTACTTGGGATGCCTTTTTGACAGCGTTACGAGCCAGATTCAGTCCTTCCAAGTATAAGGACTTAAGAGGTGAATTGGGTAGATTGCAGCAGAATACCACAGTGGAGGAATACCAAAAAATGTTTGAGCAGCTTTCAAATCAAATCATCGGAATTGATGATCTTACCTTGCAAAGTTACTTCGAATCGGGACTCCAATCAGAAAATCGAAAGGAAGTTTGGTTGCATCTGCCTGACTCCTTGGAAAATTCTATGGAATTAGCTAAGGTGGTGGAGGATAAACTAAATGACCAAGTACCATCTCGCTTTGCAAACTCGAAAGGTTATACTACCAACATTACAACAAATCAACCTGGGTTATTACCAACCCCTACCAGAGGAGTTGTTAACAATGTTGGGCTGTTAAAAAATACCATGCCCATCAAGAAGTTGTCACCTGCAGAGATGCTGGAAAAAAGAAAAAAAAAGGCTTGTGTTATTATTGTGATAAAAAATTCAACAAGAATCATGTGTGTAAGGGAATGATGTTCCTATTGATGATACAAGACGACGAGGAAGATGAGAGGGATGCTGAGTTGGAAATGGATATTGAGAAAATTGGGGGTGAAGAGGAAGTACCTAGTATTAGCTTACATGCTATGGATGGTCAATATTCATCTAGCACACTGAGATTGAAGGGAGTCATTAACAAGAAACCGGTGCAAGTTTTGGTGGATGGGGGTTCTACCCACAACTTGGTGCAAGAGAGGCTAGTCAGATTCCTAGGATTGGAGGTTAAGCCAATCTCTCAGTTTAAGGTGTTAGTAGGCAATGGAGAAAGTTTGGGGTGTAATGGAGTATGCAGTGGAGTAAGATTGGAATTACAAGGTTATGAATTTTTTCCAGATTTGTTTGTTCTTCCTATACAAGGGGCTGAAGTGGTGTTAGGTGTACAATGGTTATCAGAATTAGGAGATGTCCCTACCAACTTCAAGGAATTGATTCTGAAGTTTAAGAGGAATGGGGAGACCATTGAACTCCAAGGTGAACAGAAGGTGCAAGTGGAATTCATTGAATTACATCAACTTCGTAGGTTGGCAAGCTCAGATGTCGTTGCCACTTACTATCAGTTACAAACCATCAACCATGAGGTTTCTAGGGAGCCCAAAGTGGAGGAGTGCCATCATTCCTTGACACAATCAGTGCTGCAGGAGTATAAGGATATCTTTGAGACACCACAACAGCTACCCCTTGCACGAGTGGAGGATCATCAAATCCACCTGGAACCTGGAACAAGAGCAGTAAACGTGAGACCTTACAGCTATCCACATTTCCAAAAAGCTGAAATTGAAAAAATGGTGAAAGAAATGTTACACACCAGAGTCATTAGGCCTAGTTTAAGTCTTTTTTTCCTCTCCAGCTCTGTTAGTAAAAAAGAAAGACAAAACTCGGAGATTTTGTGTAGATTACCGAGCCCTGAACCAAGTTACAATACCAAATCGGTTTCCAATCCCAACAGTTGATGAGATGCTAGATGAACTGACAAGAGCAGTGACTTTTTCCAAGATGAATTTGCGTTCCGGATACCATCAAATCAGGATGGCTGAACCAGATATTTACAAGACAACTTTTAGAATCCACCAAGGGCACTATGAATTTGTTGTTATGCCCTTTAGACTCGCCAACGCCCCAGCAACCTTCCAAGGTATAATGAATTCTGTGTTGAAGGAATTTCTGCGCAAATGCATTATCGTGTTCTTTGACGACATACTGGTGTACAGTAAGTCAATAGGTGAACATGTAGGCCACCTCCGAAAAATGATGGAGTGTCTGAGACAACACCGACTGTATGCTAAGAGGTCAAAGTGTGTGTTTGCTCAAGGAGAGGTGGAGTACCTAGGGCACATAGTTGATGCACAGGGGGTGAGGCCAGATGTGGAAAAGACCTACCACTATTAAACAACTTAGAGGTTTTCTTGGGCTAGCGGGGTATTACCGCAAGTTCATTCATGGATTTTCACACATTGCAGCCCCCTTAACGACTCTACTACACAAGAATGCATTTGGTTGGAATGAAGGAGCTGAAGAGGCAATGCTAGAGCTTAAAGAGGAGATTGTCATAGCCCCCAATCTTGGCACTACCAGATTTTAATAAGACTTTTGTATTGACTACTGAAGCATCGGGGATAGGAATTGGAGCAGCACTAAGTCGGGACAATAAGCCTATAGCTTATTTCAACAAAAAGCCAAATTCGAAGATGCAACAGGCTTCGACTTATGTGAGGGAGATGTTTGTTATTACGGAATGGGTGGCCAAGTGGAGGCAATACCTATTAGGGGGTCCTTTTATCATCAGGACTGATCAGAGAAGTCTCAAAGAGATGACGGGGCAGGTGATACAGACCCCGGAACAACAACGTTTCTTAGTCAAGTTACTTGGCTTTGACTACACCATTGAGTATTTTCCTAGGGCAGGCAACGAGGTAGTCGATGCTATTTCAAGGCAACCAGAAAGAGAATCACCTACAGAAGGGGTAATCAGCACGGCAATGGTCATCACCAAGGCGAGTAACAACCTGTTGATCAAATTAAAGGAGAAGTTTAGATGAATAAAGAATTAATTCAATTGAAGGAAAAGATTGAGAGAGGTGTTGAAGGTTACGAGTACTATAGTTATCGAGAAGGAATGATGTTTTTCAAGGGTCGTATTGTGATAGCTTCGAACTCAAAACTTTGCATTGCTATTCTCCATGAATTTCACTCATTAGTAACGGGAGGTCATGATGGGGTTAGGAAGACGCTGCATCGAGTGCTACCAATGTATACTGGGCTAATATGAAGCGTGATGTACAGGAATTTGTGAGGACTTGCCCAGTTTGTCAAGTCACTAAATACCAGCCTCTGTCACCAATTGGATTGCTTCAACCACTGTTCATTCCACATGCGATTTGGGAAGAATTATCCATGGACTTCATCGTTGGACTTCCAATTTCAGAAGGAAGAACAGTAATCATGGTGGTGGTCGATAGGTTATCCAAATATGCCCACTTTATAGCCTTACCCCTAAATTTCACTGCCACGAAGGTAGCTGCAGCATTTGTGGAAAATATTTGTCGTTTACATGGCATTCCACGTTCTATTGTCTCAGATAGGGACCGCATCTTTGTGAGCAAGTTTTGGGTTGAGTTGGCTCGGCTAAGTGGCACCAAGCTTTGTTACAGCACAGCAAACCACCCAGAAATAGACGGACAAACGGAAATGACAAATAGAGGATTAGAATAGTATTTGCGTTGCTATACAATGGAATCACTAAAGGATTGGGTAAAATACTTACCTTAGGCTGAATTCTCTTACAATTCAGCATATCACTCGTCAATTGGAGTATCTCCTTTCCAGGCAGTCTATGGGCGCCTTCTTCCTGGTATACAACCCTATGAAGGTACCCCAACAACCGTCGAAGTTGTTGACGTCCTGCTAATTCACCGTGATGAAATCATCTGTCAGCTACGTGAGAACTTACATCGGACATGACAGCGTATGAAGGCTCAAGCTGACAAGAAACGTCGTGATGTACAATTCAAGGTGGGAGATCTGGTCCTTGTCAAACTGCAACCATATCGACAACGCTCGGTGCGCAACCAATCCTTCTCGAAGCTGCGTCGCCGCTTCTATGGCCCTTTTCCGGTGATTGAATGCATGCGTCCGGTGGCGTATCGGTTGTAGCTGCCTGAGCAATCCCGTATACATCCGGTATTCCATGTGTCGCTACTCAAACCGTACCGACAAAATCTCACCTTTCACTCTGCTCCGCTGCCGCCGGTGAGCTGGGACAACCATCCGGTGACCAAACCAATCGCTATCCTTCGGACCCGAGCCTTACAATTGGGAAAGGAAGAGACTTTACAGCTCTTAGTCCAGTCACCAATGGGAAGGACTGTCGTTGGAGGATGTCACTTGGGTTCCTTATTTGAAATTTTCTCAAGCTTTTCCAAGCTTCAATCTTGAGGACAAGATCTTGTCTTTAAGGGGAGGGGGAAATGACACGGACCATGCCCCTACTACTGCTCAAGAAAGACAGAGAGAGATGGGGGAAAGCAAAACCACGAGACAAAAGGAAGGACAGAGAGTAAAGAGAAGACCACAATGGATGGAAGACTTCGTGACCAAAGAAAGTGGCAGAAAGGATGGGTTAGGAGAGAATGGGCCACGTTGGTGGAGGCCCAAGTTCCACACTTAGTGTCAGCTGATTAGAATAACGAGTTGGGCTTAGATTAGAGGCCCAATTTATTGTAATGCATTTATTTACCGTTGCATTTTAATACTGATAGGATGGTGTTTAGTGGGTATCGAATTCAGAATTCAGTTGTAATAAACTTCATCTTCTTCTTTCTCAAATTTCTGGAGTTGCCCGCGTTCTCAAATTACCGTTGAAAATAGCATACGTATATTTGAGTCTTATTTTCTGAGTTCTAGATAGTTGAGACTATCAGATTGCCGTTGAAAATGTAATATTACTGACCAAAAATCAAAATGGGAGACACCTGAAGCAGCAACAATGTGAACCGGTTCGGATTGTTTATTCGGCAAAGTGATACAGTGAGTCAATGGTGATGTATCGGTTGACATCTTGCAGCACAAATTCTTCTCCCTCACACAACAGATAGAGTGCGAACATTCACAGCCATTGAAGCTTAGGCTTCAGCATATAGAAGAAAAGAAAATGTACAAGCCTCCGTGGCTGCAACTATTGGGCCTTCGATTATTTAAACTTTTGGGCTTAATGAACAAGGCCTCTGTGGCCCAAATCCTAAAATGGGTAGAACCAGGCAAATGCCTGATAGATTAATGTTATAGACGAACTAAGACCGGTGAATATATTATCTCATGAACAATACAATTGAGGCAAGTAACTAATCTATCAAAAGTTGTATAAAAAATCTATAAGATCACAGATTTGATTATTCTTCAGGTTGTTTTTTAATTGTCATGACGCAGCATTAGCATATAAATCTCAGCAATAGCATAAAAAATTTGTTCATTAATTTTCTTTGGACTTTATCGTAAGCAACCGAATGAGAGAATATTAACTCAAATTAGAGTTTACTCCCTCTCTCTGTCTCTCTTAGGAGACCAATTTTTGAAGGATTTGAACAAAAGCACATGATCGTCGGGCCCAAAATTCAAAGCACCAGTTATCATGCTGTTGCATTGAAGTCAAAGGTCTAGCATGGGAAATGAAAATCCACACATCCAAATAGAGGGTTCTTTTTTTGTTGAAAAAAATAAAAATAAAAAAAGAAGCGCATTTTATTGTTGTACAAAGGCTCAAATCTTCAATTGAGATTGTGAATCAATTAAAGAGAGGTTAAGGGAGAGGATCTTATCCATGACCCAAATCTAATGTTACAAGTATCCCAGTGGATGCCGACACCTTAACTTAACATGTGCAGAGAGTTAGAGCTAGAGGCTGGAAGGTGAACTCTTAGCTATCTTTTCCAAAGCAAAAGGAGGTCCACCACCAATTGTGAAAGCCCGTCTTTTATTATTCCCTCCATTGGTCCATTCTCATCCAACGCCCACAAACCTTCCATCGACCCAAATCTAAAGGACCATCGTGCGGCGATAAGATATTCCCCTATATTTCCTTCCTTATTTGCACAGCACTCTTCCGTTAATCACCGTCACCCAACCTAAACGCCAATAGCACCATCCATCCCTTAAACTCCATTTCAGTTCAGATCTGGCCACGCCCCCAAGTCCCCAACACAACAGCCAAAAATCTACGACCATATGATATAACATCATCATCCATCGAGTCAAAACCACACACCCAGCATCTCAGAAAGAGAAAGTTACCCACTTTTTAATACCCCATTGGCGATGGTTGAGGCACAAACATGGACAACCCGAAGAATGAGCAATCCCAGGTTGCTCACGCTGGACACCAACGACCAAGTCCTCGACATCCCTCCAACACCACCTGGGGACCAAAGAAACAACAACAACAACAACACCTTCGGATCCAACAACCTATCGCCGACACTCTTAACGGCACTCATGATAGCATCATGGTACCTATCCAACATCGGTGTCCTCCTCCTTAACAAGTACCTCCTCAGCTTCTACGGTTACCGTTACCCAATCTTCCTCACAATGCTCCACATGCTATCCTGCGCCGTTTACAGCTACGCCTCCATCAACTTCCTCGAACTCGTTCCCTTGCAGCACATCCACTCCAAGAAGCAGTTCCTTAAGATCTTAGCACTCAGCGCAATCTTCTGCTTCTCCGTCGTCTGCGGTAACACCTCGCTGAGGTACCTCCCCGTTTCGTTCAACCAGGCCATCGGCGCAACGACGCCGTTTTTCACCGCCATCTTCGCGTTCTTGATCACGTGCAAGAAGGAGACTGGGGAGGTTTACTTCGCTCTGTTGCCGGTTGTGTTGGGGATCGTTGTGGCGAGTAATAGTGAACCCTTGTTCCACTTGTTTGGGTTCTTGATTTGTGTTGGGTCCACTGCGGGGCGTGCATTGAAATCGGTGGTTCAGGGGATAATCTTAACCTCTGAGGCAGAGAAGCTTCACTCTATGAACTTGCTTCTCTATATGGCTCCTATGGCGGCGATGATATTGTTACCCTTCAGTCTTTATATCGAAGGGAATGTGTTGTCTTCTACGATTGAGAAGGCCAGGGGAGACCCCTTTATCGTGTTCTTGTTGGTTGGGAATGCTACTGTTGCTTATTTGGTGAATCTGACGAATTTTATGGTCACAAAACACACGAGTGCTTTGACTTTGCAAGTGTTGGGGAATGCCAAGGCTGCTGTGGCGGCTGTTGTTTCCGTTTTGATTTTCAGGAACCCTGTGACGGTGATGGGCATGGCTGGGTTTGGCATTACAATCATGGGTGTGGTGCTCTACAGTGAGGCAAAGAAGAGATCCAAAGTTACAACTCATTGATTTTCACAGATAATTCTCAACATTCCTTATTTTGGGGGGGATTTTCATAAAGGGATAAACACGTTGAAGTTTTTCTTTTTGTTTTTCAATATTGCACAATTTTCCTTTGATTTGATGATATTTTTGTGGAATTGGATCAATTTAACAGCAATTGGACTGTATAGGAAGAACCACAAAAAGGGAAAAAGGGTTACTTGTGTTCGTTTTCTCTTGCCCGTGTGTAACCTTGTAAAATGCTAGATGCCCTTTGGCAACATACATAAACGGTTCAAAGAAGAAAAACTTATGTGTATTTTGTGAGGGAGGAAAATTCTCCTTCGCTTCATTTTGTCAATCATATCATTGATTGTTTCAGTTGTGTCCTTTATCATTTGTTATTGTGAAATATTTGGAGCTTTGGATGTGTTGTGCTAGCTTTGATTTTGATTCATTTCCGAACTAGGAGTTAATTACTTGCATGGTTTGCCTCCTTCCGTTGATAGCATAATTACTTGATGCAGTAATGTTAAGAATTCAAACATGGGGTTTTGTATGTGTGTGTTTGTTTGTTTATGTTAAGTAATTGTATTTTCTATTTGCATAGCTTTGCATTTCATAAAATTATCACTACACTTAAGCTTCTAACTTGTAATTTTGTTGTTGTGATTTCTCACTCTTCACACATGCAGTTCCAAATATATTCTTTTTAAAATAATTATGAAGCAGAATGGGGATCCCTGAAATTAGTCCTGGGAAATAGCTTGGTTAGTACTATTGATCAAAATTTTGCGAGTCATAAATGATCAGTCGAAGAAACTTTTGGAAATGCTACGTTTCAATGCCACTTGTAGTGAATGCATTAGTATTTACAGGAACTCAGTGGTCATACCTAAGTTTAGTGAATATTATTTGAAACTTTTAGGACAAAGCTTTTAACTCCTGAGCAGGATTTTATTTCTCTGCTTAAAGAACCATTTGTAAGTAGGATTCATTTTCAACAGTTAAGTGAAGTTAAGTAGCATTTTGCTCAGTTCAAAATGTGTGGTGAATCATATGTATATTACTATTTAGCTCGTTCAGCTATTGTGGCAAGACTCAATATCATTCCCATATTCATTCTTTGCTGGCCTGGTTCACCTGTATTGTGATCAAATTATGGTATTTCAATAAGTTAATACTGGCTAGTAGTTATGTTTGTTTGATATGGCACCAAAAGCTAAACATAGTTTCCAGTGCTTGAATATGCTATCTAATGCTTAATTTCATCCAGTCGATGAGAATTGCCATAACGTGTTTCTTCCATGCTCACATTATACCCGATTGTGCAAATTTCTGAATTGCTTGCTTGGCTAGGTCAATGAGTAACTACTTAAATGATTGAACAGTGGCATCTCTATAAAAACTGGCATGGCATGTATTGGCAATGCCAAGTAGTTTACACACTCACCACCAGTTGCTTGTGTCCTATATACTGTGCTTTAAGTAATTAAGCTCCTAGGTGGTTCACAGTTCAACATCCACTATCCAAAACTGGAAAAAGACATTCCTTCCATGCGTTTGGGCTAATCTCTTGGAAATTGGCTCGTAGCACGCTATCTGTGACAAGGTGGTTGATGGTTGAATTGTGTCTTTCTCAAAATAGCTATTTAAATACTGGCTTGTTAAGTTGCCGTACTTGTCAAAGAGCCAGGGAGATGCCCTTGTTTGAAAGTCAGTCAAGCATTGGTTTCGGTCATTCGGAGGTAAGTGGCGAATGACAGAATCATGTGACCAATAAATTGTCTTTCACAAGTTGTTTTAGGACTAATATATGGACTTGACTTGACTTGTGTACTTGGGCAATGTTAGGTGGGTAATAATGCAACTAAATTTTGTTTTCACCCAAAACAGATATGACTTCTTACCAAAATAAACAAATAAAATAGCATAAGACCGATTATGTTGCTAATCAATGTATAATGTTACAATTTACTGACTCATTCAATTTATTAAAATCTAATTCAATGAAACAAATAATTGATCACTCATTTCGTAGTTCATATCACTATTTTCTTAGTTCATGGTGTTTGTGGCCTATTTATTTTAAAGTGCAATGTGATTCTGTTGTAACTTAGGTGTTGGTATGACAATAAAAAATTTGGTCCGGCTAGAGCCGGATTCGTCCATTTTCAATAAATTCTTATAGGAAAGGCACCAAAACAATTTGCTTACGAAACTTTGGAACTGATATTTGCCATTTGGACATCAAACACAATTTTGTTGTTTCTTTTTTATTTCATGACTTTAATTATCCTTTTGGGTCAGGTCAGATTCTTGATATTCCTGGACGAGAAAGGAACCATACAAATATAAGAGTAATCTCTAATCGAGCAATACGACAATTATCAAACTCCACCTTCAAAAATCCTATTCAATATTTGAACACATGTTCTTTATACAGTTTGTCTAGGGACTTATATAGCCACTTAAACCAAACCTATAAATTATTTAGTTGTCTTTTGGGAGTAAACATTAGAATAAACATGTCAAAGAAGTCTTAAAATATAGATTCCTCAATTTCAACATAATGATTTCTGGACTTGTAGCCCAAATCTGTCTCGGGCCGATCTATAATTTGATTTGAGATTAAGCCTTGGATCCGACCAGAGTGGACCATGAAGCACGATCAGTCCTGTGCCAAAGTTAGACAAGAAAAAAAAAAACAGGAAAAAAGTTTTCAAACCGAAATGGAGCTCCCTCAGTTGCTGCCACCTGTTCAATCCATTTTGGCCATCATTTCTACTTCCTTTTTAGTCTTAAGAGTTTGATCCCCGTGCTTGTGCTCAGTTGATAACTGCGTATCTCTTGCATGAACACTACTTTAAAGTTTCAAGTTGCTTCTAACCATAGCCATGTGCCTGAACCAAAAACCACAAAATCTTCACATCTTCACTCACGGGATGCCCGTCCACTTTCCTTCTCAAATCAAACATAAGAAGCTACCTCCTCTTTTCACTTCCCGTGAGGTGTCACTCTCATTACGCATGTATAAAAAACTACACCAGCTCATCAACATTAAATGAACTCGAATTCAGCTTGTTTTGCTCAGCATTGTCACCAGAAAATGGACAAGAAACCAACAACTCCAAGCTCTCTACAGACTCATTTTGTGGACATACATGAAGTCTTACCAGAAGGAGACGAAGAGGGGATGATAAAAATGGAGGACAAACTCGACAAGCACTTGAATAGACCCACCAAAGTTCGAGAAATTAAGAAAGCACATAGAAGTTTTAGCAGGCAGGTTTCGCTTGAGACAGGATTTTCTGTTCTTAACAGAGAAAGAAAGGCTAAAGATGAGAGGAAGGTTCTCACGAGAAGCGGAACAAGCTTGGGAGGTTTTGATTCAGCAAACAGGATTGGTTTAGAAGGAAGGAAAGGAGACTTCAGTATGTTCAAAACAAGATCCACTCTCACAAAGCAGAATTCTTTGTTGCCAAGAAAAGAGAGGGAGTTGGAATCTCAGATGAGTAATGGCTCATGTGTTAATGATGAATCTGTTAACACAAGTGTTCCTGCTGGTAGATACTTCGCTGCTCTTAGAGGACCTGAGTTAGATGAAGTCAAGGTGAGACACCACTAACTTCAAGTTGCATGCAAGCTAGCTATTGTCCTTTCAATTACTGATTCCATCTTTACAGCTTCATGTCTTCCTTCCTTGATTAACATTTACAATTTGGAATTGGAAATCTACAAGCATGTGAAAGTTGTTATCAATATATTAAAAATTGCATGGCAGTAAATATATTAATATGTTGTCACATGCATTTGGCACAGGACTTTGAGGACATTCTTCTCCCCAAAGATGAGTTGTGGCCCTTTCTCCTTCGGTTTCCTATTGGGTGCTTTGGTGTATGTGTTGGCCTAAGTAGCCAAGCCGTTCTGTGGCATGCACTAGCATCAAGCCCTGCCATCAGATTTCTCCATATTGCCCCAGCTATCAATTTTGGCCTATGGTTGTTGGCTGTAGTAGTTTTAATCGCTGTTTCCTTCACCTATGTTCTTAAATGCATATTCTACTTCGAAGCTGTCAAAAGAGAGTATTTCCATCCAGTTAGAGTAAATTTCTTCTTTGCCCCCTGGGTTGTCTGCATGTTTTTGGCCATTGGTGTACCTCATAAACTAGCCCCAGAAACCCTTCACCCTGCCATTTGGTGCACTTTCATGGCACCTTACTTTCTCCTGGAACTCAAAATCTATGGCCAGTGGCTTTCTGGGGGGAAAAGGCGTCTTTGTAAGGTTGCCAATCCCTCAACCCATCTTTCTGTAGTTGGAAACTTTGTTGGGGCAATTTTAGCTTCAGAAGTGGGTTGGAAGGAACCTGCAAAATTCTTGTGGGCTGTTGGGTTTGCGCATTACATAGTGTTGTTTGTAACATTGTATCAGAGATTGCCAACAAGTGAAGCACTGCCCAAAGAGCTACACCCCGTGTACTCCATGTTTATTGCAGCTCCCTCAGCAGCAAGTCTTGCCTGGGAGAATATCTATGGTGAATTTGATGGGTTATCAAGAACTTGCTACTTCATCGCCCTGTTTCTCTATATTTCACTTGTAGTGCGGATCAATTTCTTCATTGGTTTCAGGTACAATTATTCTCCATCAGAATGTTCTAAAACTTTAGTTCAAAAATCTAGATTTTGGGATAGCCGAGTGTAAATGATTGAAGGGGTTCTAAAGAATAATTGTATAACTTTTACAGTTTTCTTAATAAATTTTTTTTTTTTTTCAATTTACAAGACAAATACTTTTATTTCTTAGTTAATGTATAGTTTTAACTAGTTAGGATTATGTATAAGAATTTCTTAATATACAGTTGAATATCAAATTATTCATAGGTCTTGTCTTTAATAATGGACAGGTTTTCAGTGGCCTGGTGGTCTTATACCTTTCCCATGACAACCGTGTCGGTGGCAACGATCAAGTATGCAGAGGAGGTCCCTTCCGTCATAAGTAAGGGCCTTGCTCTTGGGCTTTCATTTATGTCATCGACAATGGTGTCTGTTTTGTTTGTGTTCACCCTTCTTCATGCTTTCGTTTGGCACACCTTACTCCCTAATGATCTTGCCATTGCTATAACTAAGAGGAGGCAAGGCAGGGAGAAGAAACCTTTGAAGAAGGCCTATGACATAAAGCGTTGGACAAAGAAAGCTCTGACCAAGAACAACTCAGTGAACAAGGATACCAGTCAAGAATGATTGTTACTGCAGCCAATGCCAGATACTATGGTGTCATGGGGTGGAATCTGGAATGGGTAGCAGCTTATTCCAATATTTCCGCCAATTATAATTCTGATGTGGGATTAATCATGGATTTTCTCGTTCTTGAGCAAATTATGCTCAAGTAATCTATCTTGATTGGTAGTTTTGTTAAAATGGTAAATACCTTATCGATGTCTTTTAATCAGTTCTCGAAGTACAATATTCAATGCCACTAGGAAGTAGGAACAAGGACAGTGGAAAAGGAGAGTAACGCTACCAGTTTATAGTTCCTTTTGTTCTTATACTGGTTTCAAGAGACACGATTACCATCCTGCTCTTAATAGTTAATGATCGTTCATGATTTAATCAGTTCGATCATCAAATAACATCATATAAATATTATATATCAAATTTTGTAAAGTATATATAATTATGAAAATTCGAAAGTACTAATAACATCACGATTTTATAATTTGTTCTTCAATATGAAAATGCTAAAATATGTACTGAAACCATTCTGTAGATAAATTAGGTATTAATGCCATAAAAAGCGGAAGATGAGCTTAAGGGCAAAGCAAGACTGGCCTTAACTGATTTTTTTGATTTATTATTATCAGGGGCTGTTATAGAAGATACAACCTATGCACCTAGATATGTTAATTTCTAAAAAATATCTAAGATTCTGTATACAATAAAAGAACCATCTATCATCCGAAAAAAGATGTTAGCAGCAAAAATTCAAGTTTGATGGGTTGCACATTTTCCCTCATTCATTGTCACCGAATGCCCAAGTTCCTGGATCATTTCAGTTAGAAAGTCGAATACATAAACAATCAATTTTTTTCTTTTAAAAGAGAAGCAGTACTGTGCTTCAAAGGTTTCAAATGCACATACCTCCTTGCACTCATCAAACTGATGCCAGCGCCATTCACACGATGAATTTGTTTTGCCCCAAACATAAAAGCCTTCTCCTACATCATTTGTGTCAGCTAGATGACGAAATTAACCATTTATGATGAATCACTAAAGAATAGAAATATAGCTTTCAAATTTTAAAAATAATTAAAAAATATACGAAAAGCATAAGCTCAACAGGAGTCATGTTCTTCAGACACTGCTAAACTTAATATATTACCTCTTGGTCCGGATGAAAAGAATTTGATATATTTTCTTTTGAGTCCTTGCACCAAGAAACAAATAACTCAATACAAAGCTAAGAGAAAAGAAAAATAATCCAAGATCATTACATGTAATTCAAAATTTGGGTAAACCTTTGTGTGTATCTCGGAATGCTGAGGCATATTCAAATGAGATCCATTATTTGGCTGGCCTTCAGATGTCAGAGACAACTAACATTTCAAGAGAGTAGAATGACTGAGAGTTGTGGAAATTAAATATCTCTACGGAAAATAACAATACTGATTGAAGCAAGGAGGTTACAATGCAAAAACACTTAAATTGCCTTGCAAGGCTCTGGAGTTAATTCAAGAAATTGCATCAAGGAAGAAAAAATGGTATCCCAAGAATAAAAGGAAAAGCACAAAATTCACCTGGCTAAAGAGTTCAATTGGTGGGTTATGCTGAACCCCTTTTTCTGCGTGTAAATCAAATTCCTATATGAATTGAAGCAAGGTGCAATATCAATCAAAAAAAAAAATTCGAAAAGAATCAAGAAACGAGAAAACAGATGAAACACTGCCTCACCATTCGCACTGTTGTTTCCTGCTTCCTGTTCTGGAAAACACCAATATCTCCTTTACTTGAAAGTATCTGCATTCAGACATTTTGGAGTTGCAAATACAGCAGTCCAAATAAACAAAAGGAATGAAAGATAAAACTAAATAAAATAATTACAGATAGAAGGGGGAACATGAAGAATCCGAAAGAATTCTTCCCAACATCAGACTTCTCTTAGACTTTTTTCAAAGGCCAAACTACTCTCATACATATTACTGTTCCTATACACTAAATAGTTACCTCGTAACACATTATACTTTCATTCACAATTTTTTACTTATTTAGGGTTGTGAACAAAAATTTGAGCTTTGCACAAAAGTTTTCTTGATACTGTGTTTCCAAATAATTTCATGCAAATCCTGGACTGAATCATAATTCATAAAAACAAAATCTCTTCTCTTCTACAGACTTATTTACGGTAGTGTTTTTGAAATAAAATTTAAGGTAAAAAATTTAAAAGAATGAAAAGTGAAATTGAAAATACTATTAAATCCCACAAAGTTATATAAAATACAGCATTTTTTTACATTCAACTTCATCTCAAGTAAAACTGGCTGGTAAATGTATATTGCTTCTTTTATTATTAAATTCCGTCTTACATTGTGTTTTTATATGCTAACAAACACCGAAGCCCAGATACAAATTTTGAGAAAGGAACTTTGTAATTATATATTTATAACGAAAATTTTGGTCTAGACAATCCCACAGCAATTGTCTTTCTACGTGATATTCAAGTTAATTTGTCTGGAATACGAATACTTGCTAGAATAAATCAGTTTGATAATGATATATCTAAGATTGAATGTTATCCTATTAATGAATGAGATAATTACAAAACATTTCATGATAAAAACACTACATTGTCGATGCGAGTTTTGTTACATGTTTTCATTTAAGTCTAAAGACATTGTATAAACTAATTTAAATGGAGAAAATACAATTTTAGTAAGAAATTTTAAAATTATAACTCATCCACCATTCGGAACTATATAATTCAAGTTCATAGTTTATTCCTTGGTAACAAGTGCTTTCCATATATTTTAACAAGATTTATCATTAATGTCTCATTACCTTCTTATTAAGAGGCTGAGCTTTAAAATTATGCATAAAACCCGATCCATCATACTTTGATGCACCAATGGCAGTAGGCCTATGGAAAGAGACAGTTTTTTTGTAGTTAGTATCATTGTTTCATGAATTGACAAAGTCAGAATGAGCACTATCATGGCATTTCTTACCTTCTCAAATCCTTGATTCTATTTTCTAGAGCAGAAACAGCAGTATACTTGTCCCAACCCTGCAACAAGATAACTGATTTCTGAAAGACTAATCATATCTAAAATAAAACAAGAAAATGCAAATCAATCATAAAACATTCATAACTAATGTTTCTCCTATAGACTGGGTGTAAGAACATCAAATGACAATACGTGATGCTGTAAAGAACTAGAGATACATGAATGTTACTACTTAAAATTGTATGACCTAAAATAACCTTATCAGAATCATTGCAGTGAAGTGAAGATGATGAAGTAGCAGATGTGCGTTGCATGGCCCTCTCCAAAGTCTTCAGGTGAAATTCCTGAGTGGATATTAAACACCTGAGCTTCAAGATAAAATAGTGCAGAAAAAACTTGTTTTCCAGATTACTTGTTAGTTCAGTTCTTTTCTTTTATAAAGGAATGGTGGAAAAACTGGGTGAACTGCAAAAGCAAGTATCAAAACTCGAGCGTACTTGAAATTCTGGCAACTGTGGAGTGCTCCTTTTGGGAAGTGGCAATGAAGGAGTATCAAGAATCTACATTATGAACATAATTAGAGAGATGATGGCAAAAGTGCACCAAAATTAACCAAACAAAAGCAATTATAACTACAGCAAGTACTAACTCTTCTATTTAATGGCCGTGCTTTGAATCTGGAGGCAGCCACTGTCACATGCTCTGCCTCTGCAACATTTTTGGGTCTGTAAAATACAAATATTACTCAATGTCTATTATGAAGGAAATTCATCATCAAAATTTCGGCAAACACTAGGTATCCACAACCATAAACCTTAATCTTTGTGCTCTATGTGCTGTTTTAAGGTCAGGCTCTCTAGGAATAGTAAGCCTCAGCTTGGAATATGTAGAGTTTTGTTCAACAGTGACAGCCTGCAAGAACATACAAATGTATACAGCGCATCATGTAAACCTCTTCCCTGCCCCTCAAGAAACAAGCCCCTTTCCCTAAACATGCAAAACACTCTTGCACTTCCCATTTGCAGTTTAGGTACTTACTAAAGGATACCCTTAACAAATAATTAACAAATTTCCACTCAACAATAGTGTTATACCAGGAAAACTCAAAAAAAATAAAAAAATTGAATTTTATAATTTCTAGGGAATAACATATATGGGACAAAAATAGGAGCACCATGCAATTCATATGAAGAGAGTCTTGACAAATTGTCCAATCTACTTTTACCAAGGGAAGATTTATGCATTCTACATTAGGATTCATACCCTCATAGGTGCCTTGTGGAAAAAGTTAGTTTCCGGCTTCACATCGGTGACCTGTCACAGAGGAGACACAGTAAGCATTTCAAATGCCCTGTCGAAAAATAAATGTGATGTCAATATTCCTTAAGCCCCATTTGAATTCCTAGTCCATGGTTCAAGAACTTCTGCACTACCTCCCCAAACACGGGGAACTAAATATAATTCAACTAATGTATTGTACACTTTACCCATGAATAGTACCAACTAAGCTCTCACAGAGTTCCTGAGAGAATTTCTGATGCATACAAAATGTAACACAAAGTTATGAAATTCATTATTGGCTATAGGAGCTGGACAAAATTTTATAGCATTAAGGAGGCGAATCGGAGCAGTGATAAAGTTGTTCTTTCATGACTGAAAGGTCATGTATTCAAATTCAGGAAACACCATCTTTGCAATTATGCAAGGGTGAGGCTGCGTACAAGGATTACCTCCACCCCACACTCGCTAGTCGAGTTTTACGGGGAGTGATTTTCTTGGTGAACTAGAGCACTGGTAAAGCTATTCTTTCATGACTGAAAGGTTATGAGTTCAAATACAAGAAACAGCCTCTTTGCAATTATGCAAGGGTAAGGCTGCATACAAGAATTACCTCCACCCCACACTCGCTAGTCGGGTTTAACGGGGAGTAGTTTTTTTTTTTGTGATCAATCTCTGGCATATATCTGCATATATCTAATAGCTCCAAACAAACAAATATAAAAGCAGCATATTCAAATGATTTGCAGACCTTGAACAAGAGACCACCCTCTAATTTTTGCCTCTTGGCAGCTTGACTTTCAACCCCAGAAGAGAGAGAAAAATTCCTTTCATTCTGAGTTGGTAGCTTCTGAAATCTGAGAATGAAAGAGTTGTAGATATAAGGTTATGCGGGGGGGGTTTCAGAGCCAGGAGAAAAAAAAAATGCTAAAGGAACAAATGTAATAATACTCCTACAGCCGCACTTATTAAAAAAGATAATCATCACTTCATAAAGAACAAAATACCCACCCAAGTTAGCGGGAATTTAAATTGACATACCCCATTGAACAAACAGATACTGTAGAAGAATGCAATGGTATGGTACACTTCAAAAGCAATGGCAATTAACAGAGCCACAGTGCTATACCGGTACTATTACCCCCCCCCCCCCCCCTCTTCCCAAACACACCCTAAAAAAAAAAAAAAAAGAGTTCATGCCTCTTGAACTTCAAGTAATTCCAGTAATCACCTTGAACCAACATTTTGGGCGGGACGATTTTTCTTAGCCAACTGACTAGCTGTAGGTTTCATTAATGTTGAACTCTTTGGCACAGCAGATTTGACCTTAGAACTCAAACTGTCACTGATTGTCTTACTTCCAAAGGTAAGTCCTACAAAAAGACACATACATGTCAAACAAAAGGAGAATAAACAAGTTGAGATAGATGGGAAGGGACAGAGGAAGATACATAGAGAGAGCAGAAGAGAAATGTAAACACACAATATTATAAATAACACAAGCAGTGTCATGAATATTATCATGCGTTAAAGACATGAAACCACTCAAGTGCTTCCACCTAACAACTTAAACTTTTGAGAGAGTTAGTTCTTGAAATAGTATTAGAGTTTCTATTACTAAGTGGTAAGGATTTTGATCCCTTCCACCAACATTCTTCATAATTAAATTAAATATCAGCACAAGTGGGCTCATGCATTGTCCCTACTTTTTAAAGAAAGAAATCGATGATTGCAAAGTTGAAATTGGGAAATTAATCAATTGATGCTTGGATTCACATAAGCCAGTAAACAAATTTACTGACACATCCTGTTATCAGATTTATTAGCCACAGGTTCTTGCAATGGCTTCATACAATCCTTTTGTAGAATTCCGCCGAGCAAGCAAGAGACCTTTCCACCAAGAGCTTTCGAACCTAACAATTATAAAGTAGAAGGCATTTTCAAAGAGCCAAGAGTCATGGCCTTTCTAACTATATCTGTAAAACAGTACTGAAAGTGTATCTGAAACTTTCAAAGTTTTCATCGAGTATAGAAAGCTTGGATCTGTATTATGATAAAAGCCCATTACATAAAAAATTTCCCAGTTTAGTGCCGCATTATTTTTCTTCATTTGGACCAATTAAAATAAATTGCTTCCAGAGAGAGGAATAGGCATTTGTACTGAGTACAAATCACTGTTGCAGTTAATTGGGAAGCATTGGAATGAAACCTGTGAGTGGGATAATTTCAAAATTATCCTAAGTCTGATATAAATCCAAGGCTAGCACATTTTTGCTCTCCCCTTCAACAGCGTGTAGAGAAAACATGTCCACTATCAATGATCATAACTTTTAATTGGATCAACTTTAACTATCAGTTAAAACTTAAAAACATGGAAACACCTCAATGCACAGCCCAAACAATTAATCAAGGACCCCATGATTACCTTACCACCAGAGGGACCCTACAGCTAAAGGGGAAGATGTACATAAACAAGTTACCAATACCCAAAAAAAAGAAAAGATTTCAAATATCCATGCATTTTTTTAACACTGATAAAAACAACTAGGAATGTACATTAAATAGTATAATAAGTCATTACAGATCAATCCGGTCAACTAAGGCGCAAATAAAAATCAATAATTCAGGCAAGTGGAAGCGGCGGCAAGGTAAATAGAATACATGAATATAAGATAGCAAGTTGATTTCAACGTTGTTTTAGTGTACTTCATTGACAATGAGAGTAGCAGGATAGTAGAACGTATTCAACTGAACAAGGGAACGACATTGTATGAAGTAATATTGTTGACGCATACCATTATTGTCAAAAACCGTGTTGGAAAATTCCATCCCCAAAGGAACACGAGATTCTTCATCATCTACATTACTCGTGCATTCCAGATGCTCGGGTTTTGTTGAGTTGCTAACATCGTCCAAGAGAAAACCCTTTCTCACCACCAGCTTTGTTACAAAAGCTGAAGCAGAGAAATAATAGCAAAATTTGCGTGATTTCAGCAAAAAAATAAATATTAATAATAATAATAATAATAATTCATGAAAAAAAAATTGCGTTGGTCTCAGCTAGCACAGACCGAAGTAACTTCAGGAACTAACACACGAAAGTAAATGGGGAAAAAGAAGGTTTAAAGTAAGCAGTTACGAAGAATGCTGCGAACGAAGATCGAAGAAACAAAATGCTTCATATATATATATATTAGAAAAAGAAGAAAACTGACGAGAAGGAGGGTAGCTGGCGACGTTTTGAAACCAAAGTTCGGCTTGGTTAGCTTCAGCAAGAGTCTCTGGTCGAGTGAAATCGAAGAAGCGAGCTGCATCAAACTCGTAATCCAGATCAATTTCATGAGCAACAAACACATGCTCTATTTTTTCGCCTTCGTCTTCTTCCATCATCATTGTCATCGTCATAATCTCTCTCTCTGTATCTATCTATCTAACAGTGTCAGTGAGTAGGTGGAGAGTGAGTAACAATGCGGGTTATGGAGCTCCGAATCTGATCCGAACAATGAAGAACCTGTTACTGTTGCGCTATAGATAGCTGCTACTGAGTTTTGAGTTGGGTTTTGTTTTGAGGGGTTTTGATTTAAGGGATTAATATCCGTGCATATAATTTTTTTTTTTTATACAGGAGATTCATGTGGGATAACATGAAAAGAATAGAGAAAAAAAATACAAGAGCATTATATATATTTATATATTTGTAAAAGATAAAATTATTTTAAATGAAAAATATTAATCTCTTGATTTAAACGGCAATTTTTTTCTTAACTTTTTTAATTTTTTTGAATTTCTTCAATGGGTTTTGACTCTATTTTTACTTGAATAAGAAGGTTTTGTCTCTACCAATAATTTTAAAAGGATAGGATACTGTGACACCCAAGTTATGTTACACCCATGTGACACCCAGTCAATCTCATCGTTAGATCGCTTATGTTGATCTAACGGTTATATTTATTTTCATCTTTGTATGGTCATGATTTCTCAAATTTAATATTTTATATTTATTTCTATCTTTGTATGGTTATGATTTTCCATATTTAAGGCTTTTACTTTAAATTTGGGAAATCATGACCATACAAAGATGGAAATAAATATAACCGTTGGATCAACATAAGCGATCTAACGGTGAGATTGACTGGGTGTCACATGAGTGTAAAATAACTTGGGTGTCACAATATTCTATCCCAATTTTAAATACAATTATTTAGTTTTTTAAAAAGCAAATATTTTTTGTGCGTCTTGAAGAGGAAGTTACCATTCTTTTACTTGGAACTCGGAAGCAGGAAACAAAGCGGGGAGCACAAGCAGCTTTTTTATTTTTTATTTATTTTTTCAATTTTATTATTTATTTATTCTTTTTGTAACTGCAAGCTCAAAGTGTGTAACGAGTGAGTAAGGATCCAAAATTTGAATTTATAATGGGTAGTTTTATAGTACCGACTTATGGAATAAATTTTTGGTGCTACTGTTACACTAAGATTCAGTGCATCTCACCAATGAGAGCATTATACATTATACGAGTCAGAGAAAATAAAACTTTAGCTAACATGTAATATTTTTATTGGTGAAATGTACTGAATCTTTGGTGCTGCAGTAGCACCAAACATTTGTTCCGATTTATGGTGATGGGTGCTAGAAATTTGAAGATAATAAAGTGGGTGACAGACGAATAGAAGATGGAGAATTCCATTTGTTTTGTCGACGATGTGCTACTGGTGGGGTGACATTACGTTTGAATATTAGGATTAGAATAAAGATTAACATAAATCTTTGGCGGGTGTTTCGGGCCGCGAGACCCTGTCGATGACTCTGCAATTTCGGCGCCTCCTCGTTTTTGGCTTTCGCGTTCCATCAAATTGCATTTTGTTCGTAATCAGGCGCAGTGTTATTAAACTTGAATCGATGAAAGTATTGTATTAGTAAATTATTCATCGTTTAAATTAAATTTATGTAAAAATATATAATAAATAGGATTTGCATTTATCATTTAACATGACATAACAAATTTTTCTACACACAACATTCTGTGGGGTTCACACTTTTTGAAAAATAAAAAATAAAAAATTACGACATGTAAAACGAATCTCTATAACATTACACAGTCACTTTCTTACAACATAACTTTTATAAAACTTATAATAAATATATAAATATAATAATAATTTAACTTAGTGGTTAGTATTTCATTTTCCTTTCTTTAGGTGCTAGGTTTGAATTCTAAGAGCACAATTATGATGGAATATTGTCATCATTTTCAAAAATCAGGTCAATCAAAAAATTAATACTGGGTTAGCATCCATTAAACTCAATTTTTAATTGTTTTACTGATTCTTAACCGAGTTGTATGTATAACTGATTAATTAAATGAATCGGACCAATTAGGGATTCAGATTCTTGTTCAACCAATCCGATCAGATTGAGTGAGTTTTAACAACACTAGCTATAAACAGATCGCATTGGAGTTTGATTTAAACAAGCTTTATTTTTCTCCATTAAATTTAACCAGATGTTATTAAGAGCATTTTTTTTATACATTAAGAGTTTCCATTATTTAATTGAATAGGCTAATAACCATTTAGATTTGAAATTTTTTATTAATGACTCTAGTTCCTAAATGAACAATTTAAGTGTCGGATATTGCATTGGGTTGTTTTGATACTATCAAACAATTGAAAGCATAATGATTGATGTTGCTATTTTTTAAGTGTGCATCAAGTTTAAATTTCTACTACAGCAATGATTAGGAAGGACCAAGTCAAACACTTAAAGGTTAAAAGAATGAAGATAAAGGTTCAAAACAATTGGAAGCTAACAAGTAATCTATTGCTGGGTTGACAGGAATGGATTTTGAATTCAAAAGATATTTAAAGAAAGAGGATATTAAGATAAGGTTACAGTTTTGACAAGAACATTTTGAATATCAAGATAAGCTCCAAGTTTTTATAGATGATGATACGAAAAGAGGATGGGTCAACAAGTTATTTATATATACAAGACTTCTATTAATCGAAAAAGATACTTCTAAGAGGGATTTTTGTAGAGCATCGCACTTAGTTTAAAATATGATTTGAAGTGTCACCTTTTATTCTTTTTGAGAAGTACTAGCAAGGTGGTTTTTCTTCAATCGATATTATTTTTAGCTATTGTGAGTTAACAATAGGGGAGCAATTGTCTTGGGATATTTGGATTTTTAGACCTAAAAGATTAGGTTGAAGTAGCAATTTCTATTGTGTGATTGGAGTTGTGTAAATTGGGTTAATTTGTACTTGAAATTATTGAGATCGTGGTTGTTTTACTCCTATTAGTTTAAGAGGTCCTCCATGTTAATTTTCTATGTCTTTTATATTTTTTATGAAATTTAATTTTGGTAAACAAAATTAAAAAAATTTGTTAAAAAAAAATTTGCATCATGGATTACATTGCAGTTTAAGCAATAAAATTGTTCCAACTAATCAAATATTGAATAAAAAATGACGCTGCTGCCTAGCTTCTGGCCCGAACCTTCGTCAGAACAAGGAAGACCAAAACCGAGGAGGGAGAAGGAAGATCTTTTAGAGAGAAGTGTAAAGAAAGCAAAAGAAAACATCCATGAAGATAGCTCCATGGACGACGAGATGCTGGAAAAAAATACCATTGAGGAAACAGAAAATTCTAAGCACCAAAAAGAGAACAACAAGAAACCCAGGAGCTCTGGAGGAACAGGAAGGAAAATGGTCTCATATAAAGATGTTGTCCTACAACTAAATGGAGAGGGGAATGACGTATATAGTGATGAGGAAGACTTAATGACAACCCTCAGAAGAGAGGAAGAAGAAGCAGAGGAATTGGAGGATGAAACCCCAGCGGAGCGAGCCAACCCTCTATGCCCAGTCTACTATCTCTCTGCAAGACAACACAGAGAAAACTGCAAGAAGTGGAGGAAAGCAATCATAGTGAAACTTATGGGAAAGAAAATTAGCAACCGGCTACTGATTACAAGACTTATGAGAATATGGAATCTAGTGGGAAGATTTGAAACCATTGATCTGGACAATGTATATATTCTCTTTAAATTTATGGAAGATAAGGACTATCACCATGTCCTCCATGAGGGCCTCTGGATAATCTTTGGGCATTACGTGATAGTTCAACGTTGGAGGCCCATGTTTGACCCCTATGATGAGCAGGTGAAGAGAATGGCAGTAAGGGTACACATCCCTGGGCTTCCTCTAGAAATCTATACATCCCAGCACTTATGGAGAATAGGCAATCTGTTGGGTAGAACCCTAAAAGTAGATCAAAATTCCTTGAGGAAAAACGAAAGATGAGATGGCGAGCTTATAGAGAAAACAAAGTATGCAAGACTATGCATAGAAGTGGATCTCAGAAAGACGTTCATTCCCAGTTTCCAGGTAATGAAAAGAGAATTCCAAGTAGCTTATGAGGAATTGCACCTTATTTGCTTTGGATGTGGGCGGTACGGACACAAGCAAGAACATTGTAATGGGGGAGAGACCAAGACCATGCAAGTCGAAAAAGCACAATAGGTGGAAAAGGAAGAAAAGGGGAGCACCAACCTCAGAGCAAAAACAGACGGATAGAGCCTTTGGCTCATGGATGGTTGTCCAAAGAAACCAAAGAGGACGCAAGTTGAAGGGAGGTACTAACTCGAAGGTTGAAGAAATCTCATGTCCTATGCCAACGCCAACAATGGGAAGAACTCGAAAGGAAGACCTTCCCGCCGGCGATGCAAATCCGACTCTAAACTCCCGCTTTGCTGTTCTGACAGATTCAGACATGCAGGAAGATCATGTGGTTCAGAAGTCAGCAGTACAGATCTTGGTTGGTCCCAAGGAGTTGACATCCCACCCTGACGCAACAGAGGGCACAGGAAAGAGCAGTGCATTGGGCAGTGTGATATACACAAAAGGGGTAAAAGAGCCTTCGGCTAACAAACATAGAATCTCTGCATCGCAGAAGACTCATTCTAGGCAATCGAAGTTAGGACCGAAAGGGCCCATTAGCAAAAATAAAAAATCACAAGGCCCAATAAGCCTTAGCAAAGAAGCCATAATTGGAGATGGCCCTATTCTGAAGCCAGCCCAGGATAATTGTCCAAGCCCTCCAACGGAAATCTTAATAAAAAAGAGAGAAGAGAAGGATATGTTACACACGATGAGATCAACTCCGAAGGAGCAGGACGAGATGATCCTTAATGAGGTGATTTCGGCTATGAATCTTTCAAGAGAGCCCCTGCCCCATTTTTCATCTGGGAATGATGGCAAGGAAAACAAATTTAAAGGGGGTGGAAAGAACAGGGGATTACCCCTTCTAGGAGATCCACGTCAAATTTAGATGAACAAACCAGTCTTACTGGAGAAGAAAAGCTCTAGCTTTGGGAGTCAGAACAAGTCAGAGGATGGTGGATTGTTGGCCTCCCACCAAACATCCCAACCTTTTAAATGAATGTGCTTATCTGGAATTGTCGTGGTGCTGCGAAGGCAAAACTCAAAGGCATCATGAAAACTCTAGTTAGAAGTCACAAGGTGGAGGTTGTTGTCCTCTTAAAACCAAGAGTGAGTGGAATTCGTGCTCAAAAGGTAATTCAAAATTTGGGGTATGTGAACTACATTATAGAGGATGCAGTAGGTTTCTCTGGGGATATTTGGATTCTATGAAACCATTCTGAATACACAGTGGAGCTTGTGGATAAAACCTCTCAAGCAATTTTGGTTAGATTATCTAAACCCAATAATTCCCCTTTCATTTTTTCTGTCGTGTATGCTAATCCAAGAGTTGAGAGAAAGAAGAAGCTGTGGGAAGTGTTGCGTAGTTGGCATCAGATGTACTCTGAACCTTGGCTGGTTGCGGGGGATTTTAATGAGATTCTTTCAGCAGAGGAGAAGAAAGGTAGAGCCCCTGTAGACTTCGGTAGATGTTCTGATTTTGCAGATGTTCTGGATGATTGCAATCTGATGGACCTGGGCAATTCTGGGCCTTTTTTCACCTAGAAAGAGCCGAAGTTTGCTCACCTTGAGAAGGTGTTTAAAAGGCTAGATAGGGTTGTTGCCAATGTTAGTTGGAGGAATGCTTTTGAAGAAGCTGTCATCTGAACCTTGCCTAGAACCTGTTCTGATCACAACCTCATTCTCATCTGCCTTTCTCCTGCTAATTCTGAGTGGGAGGATCGTCCTTTCAGATTTTCCCCCTGGATGGACCACTATGATGCACAGACACTAACACAGGACACGGTACACGACACGCCGACATGTTAATTCTAAAAAATGGCATATTTCGAACCGTTGAGACACGTTTTGATATTAAATAATATTTTTAATATATATAATATAATTTATATTTAATAGATATAACAGTCCATAATAAGTTATATAACTAATCAAATATTCAAATTTCATAACATAAATATAAAAAAAAATAATTTTTCATATCTTGTTAATTTTTCATGTCAAATTTCATAACAGAAAAAAATTAATTTATAAATGATTTTTTATTTTATTTTTAGTTAATAAAATAAAATTAAGAGTAAAAAAAAACGTGTCCGAGTGTGTCTTAGCGTTGACCACGTGTCGAAAAAAGTTGACTGCGTGTCGGAAAAACGTGTCGGAGTGTGTCGGAGAGTTGACCACGTGTCCCAAAATGTTAACCGTGTGTCGGACACGTGTCCGAACGTGTCGGAGCATGTCTGTGTCGGACACGTGTCCGAACGTGTCAGAGCATGTCTGTGTCGGACAAGTGTCCGACACGCACAATTTCAAAAACAAAGTGTGTCTGTGCTTTGTAGATGGACCATCCTGAGTTTGCACAGCTCCTTAGAGATAATTGGATGGGGTCTGTGGACACTCCCTCGAATCTCAGAGAGCTAACACCAACTCTGAAATTCTGGAATGAACACACTTATGAGATCATTCACAGAAAGAAAACCTCTTTTCTCAGAAGACTGGATGGGATCCAAAGAAATCTGGAAAAAAGGAGGTAACATTTTTCTTTAAAAGTTTGAGAAGGAGCTTAGCCTTGATCTGGACAGCTTGTTGGAACTGGAAGAGCAACTTTGGTATCAAAAGTCCAGGACTATGTGGATAAGGGATGGAGATAGAAATACCAAATTCTATCATACTATGGCTATTGCTAGAAGACGCAGGAATAAGGTGCTAGCCCTGAGGAATGAAATGGGTCTTTGGATTAATGATGAGGAATCTCTCAAGTCTATGGTCTCTCAATTCTACATCAATCTGTTCTTAGAAAACCAGGTGGAGAGAAGATGGGTGAGTACTTGCGAGAATTGGCCTCAGCTTGATAATTCTGACAGACAAAGACTGAGTCATAAACTTTCTAAGGAGGAAAGACAGGCTGCTATTTTCCAAATGGGACCTCACAAAGCCCCTGGTAATGATGGTTTTCCTGCGACCTTTTATCAAAGGAATTGGGACTTCCTAGTTGATAAGGTATGTAACGATATTGATGATTGCTTCTCGGATCCAGAGAAAATCAGTAATATAAATGATACCATCCTTGTCCTCATCCCCAAAGTAGATAAACCGGAGAGAGTGGAGCAATTTAAACCGATTGCTCTGTGTAATGTGTTCTATAAAACTATCTCTAAGATTCTGGTAAACAGGCTTAAATCTGTTATGGACAAATTGGTTTCTCCTTTTCAGACCAGTTTTGTTCCAGGAAGAGTTATTCATGATAATGTCATTATAGCTCAGGAAATGACTCGCTCAATGAACAGACTAACAGGGAAAAAAGCTTACATGCCAATCAAAATTGACTTGGCAAAAGCATATGACAGGTTGAATTGGGGCTTTATTCACAAGGTTTTACTAGAAGCTGACATTCCCCCGCAGATGGCTGATGTCGTAAAAGTATGTATATCTTCGGCTAAATTTCAGGTTCTTTGGAACAATAGCGAATCTGATGCGTTCAAACCAGAGAGGGGCATTCGTCAAGGTGATCCTATTTCTCCTTACTTATTTGTTCTGTGTATGGACAAGCTTTCTCATCTTATTGCAAAAGCTGTAAAGGCCAAACGTTGGATCCCTATGAGAGCTGGTAGAAAGGGACCTAGGATCTCTCATCTTATGTTTGCTGATGACGTAGTTCTCTTTGGGGAAGCTAGCCTCAATCAATTGGACGTGATGCTGGATTGCCTCAAGGGGTTTTATGACATGTCTGGTCAGGTTGTTAGCATTGAGAAGACAACCATCTACTTCTCTAAGAACACGGAGCCGAACACCAGGACCTCCATCTCACAAGCTAATGGTTTCAAGATGTCAGATTCACTAGGGAAATATTTGGGCTCTATGCTTTACCATGGGAGAGGTAGAAAGCAAAATTTTGCTGCAGTAATCCAGCGGGTAAAGTCTAGGCTCACAGGATGGAAAGGTAACTTGCTTTCACTTGCTGGGGGAACTACTCTTGCAAAATCTATCTTAAGCTCCATCCCCACCTCTCATATGCAACATGGTGTAATTCCTAGAGCTGTTTGCAATGAGATAGAGAAGATCCATCACTCATTCATATGGGGGGACAACCTTGATAAGAAGAAAGCCCATCTCGTTGCTTGGGAGAACTTATACAAACCAAAGCATGCAGGAGGGCTGGGAATCCACTGCCTTAGAGCTCACAATGAGGCTTTCCTCTTTAAAGTAGCCTGGAAAATCCTAAATAAACCGAAGAGCCTTTGGGTTCAAGTTCTGCTGGGGAAATATAGCAGAAATTTCAGTCCTAGGAGGCAGGTAACATCCCAAACTTATGACTCTCATCTCTGGAAAGGTATCTGTCACATCTGGCCTAAGCTCCTGGACTGCCTTCAGTGGAAAATTGGCAATGGCAGGGACATAAAATTTTGGGAGGATCGCTGGACGCACCTGGACTTCCCCTTAATTGAGCTCTCTATATCTAGTCCTTGTCTCATCGATTTGGGAGCTTCTGTTGCAGAGTTAGTAGATCATAATGCTGGAAATTGGAATTTTGAGTATCTCTAGAAAGTTCTGCCAGAGGAAACTATCCACCATATTAGAGTGTGTATTCCTCCCTCGGTCAACAATGAACCGGATTCTCTAGTGTGGAAGAACAACATCAATCACAAAGGTATTGTTAAATTTGCTTACAACAGTTTAATGGGGTTTGATAGGATATCCCATGATCCTATTTGGAAAAGAATCTGGAATTGGCAAAGGTTGCGCCAATTTACTTGGTTGGTTCTTTATGGAAGGATTCTAACTAGGGAGTATACTTCTAAGTGGGGGGCTCTTCACATTGCCACTTCTGCAGGAACAAAACTGAATCAATCAACCATGTGCTTAGAGATTGCAAGAAAGCCATTCCTATCTGGAGTTACTGGTTTGAGGGTGCTATCCCAGAGAGTTTCCTATCTGTTAGTCAGGATGAATGGATTAGGAGAAATCTCATGAACCCGTGGGCGCACCCTCAACGTTCAAAGTGGAGGGACATTTTCCTTGTTTCTATTTGGTTTTTATGGAGCTGGAGAAATAAGGAGATCCATGAACCTGGTTTCATTAGACCCCTAAATAAGCCAAGGTTCATGGAAAACTATATTCTGGGTGTCGAACAAGCTTTAGGCAGGCAGGTCTCTCACTCTATGCAGTGCACTGATCGTAATCTGGTTAGATGGAAAGCTCCTCCTGTCGGTTGGATGAAGATGAATGTAGATGCAGCAACGAGTTCTAACCCGAACCTGGCCTCTTGTGGGGGTCTTCTCAGGGATGATAGAGGAAGATGGGTGGCTGGGTTTACCTATCTGATCGACAATTGTGACCCTCTTACAGCGGAGCTCTGGGCTATTCTAAAAGGATTAACCACTGCGTGGGAGTTGAAAACTGACAAAGTAATAGTGGAAAATGACTCTTCACAAGCTCTTCAAGCGCTGGAAAGGCCTAGAGGTATCAGTCACATTCAGGGGATAGTCGAGGAAATCCAGAAATGGATGAAGAGAGCTTGGCATCTTGTCTTCCACCATACTCTTAGAGAAGGAAATTCGTGTGCTGATTTTTTGGCCAAAGCTGCATTTCAATCCCAGAACTATTTTTTTTTTGCTGAACAGAGTTCCAACCTGTTTGGAACCTCTGTTACAAAAAGACGTTATCAATATGTAACTTGTTTCTGTTGGGCTTAGGCCCCTTCGATATACTTTAAAAAAAAAACTTGCATCACTCAATTAACCCCTCCGGCTCTTGAGTGTCACAGGGACTAACATTAAGAACAACATTTTGAGTTAAGCATTATGTATTCTTCACTATATTTACTGTACAAAAATTATTATAAAAGTTTTTTTTATTCGTATAAATAGCTATCTTAGGAATGTTGGCAGCATTAATCATTTAATAATTATATTTATGGTTTCAAAATGTTTTAGTTGATACTTTTGTTTATTATTCGAATATATTATGAAAGATATATAACACAAATGATTACTATCAAATATCTTTTTTTGGGGCCGGATATTACTATTTTGTGAGGAGAAATTACACTGAACTCTTTCCAGCAACTACCTCGAAGGAGAAGAAAAGGTGTCAAATTCTTTATTTTGTGGGTCACTCGACCGGAGTCATCTCAGTCACACCAATCTCTTTTTTCATCTCTCACTAGTCGCGAGCAAGCCTCCGATCTCTTTAAACTTGAATATAGCCACTCCAAGTGTTAGACTCATTCATAATTGTAGCATGGAAGGTCTTAGGTTCAAGACACCAATAACCAATTTTGGACTCATGATAGACAGTTGGAGGTGTGCATAATATCCAATTAACCTAAACCATTTTAGGAACTGAACCAAATCATTTCAAAAAAACCAAATTTTTTAATCAATTTTATGAACTGGTTCACTTTTTGGATTTAAGATAAGGTCTGATAATATAAGTTTATACTATACGTTATGATTTTTTTAGTTGTTTAGTATGATCATCGATTCATGATTAAATGCTTTGAGATGAAATATGATAAATACCTTGATTTTTATGTGAGAATAGATAAC